AAAGAGTGAATGGAGCTGTGATGCTTGGAGCATTATGAATGATCTACATAACAAATATCTTGCTTGAACCTTATGGAGTGCTGTTATGCAGGTCCCCTGTCATTTAAAGTTACTAAATGCATATAATGGTTAGCTCATTGTAAACAATGAGAGCCCACTACCTGTGATTCAAATTGATGGACTTCAGCAAATTGTTTTTGCAGGACAGGCTTGTGGTGCCAAACAGTGCCACACTTGGCATTTTGGAGGCAGAAAGATTTTTTCACAAGTTTGTATCTTACTTGCTCAGATTGTCCTATGAAAAAGCTAACTTAACTCCTACCTCAGCAATCCATGGAATGAAAGGAACAGAAATACTGTCTATGTATTCTTTGCTGGAAAATTCCATGTTAAAAGAGAACAGCCTTCAGGGACTGGAGGCAGCTTACTGCCTGCCTGAATAGACAGCAACTGAATTCTGGCCTATGATCAGCTAGCACCCCTTCCCACACCAACTGCTCACTGGCTTTGGGGCTAGGATTGAAGACAAGGCAGCAGCTGGGGCAGCTGTCCCACTGGGACATGGTATGATGCTCGATGGACTAGATCCTTATGGGTCCCTTCCAACTCGAGATACATTCTGTAATCCTCAATACATGCACAATGATGCACAGGTCATTATCATCCTGGGAAATGTGGATTCCCAGTTCAGTTTCTTAAATTTTAGTGTAGGAGTCTAAATGTATGCACCTATGGTTACAAATGTAACCGGCTTGGATTTTGATTCAAAAAATTCTTGCTTCCCCTGACATTGCTGGTACTTTCTTCAAGCATGTTGGACTTGCCTTTTTTAACACACACACCCTCTACCCCCGCCTCCCCCGCCCCAAATTTGGGCCGAGATAGGATCAGTATGAGAATTACATAAGAATCTCCCATACCTGCACCAAGAGCAGCAGATTCATGTCTGGTAAGGGTGACTTTAACTTGAGTGCCTGCAGTAACTCCAATATGACACTGCGCGTCAAGTAGAATTTGTCCCTTTCCTACAACAGAAAAACTCAGAATTATCAATGTCCTGAAATTCACCGACACCCACTAGTAAACCATAAAGATACTTTTTATCTAAGTTAGAGAATACAGAAGTTAAAAAAGTGTATTGGTTGCTCCTGTCTTATAAAAAGGCAGACATCAATGAGGGTGATTCTCCTTTGATGTTGTATCAGGCACTATATCCAAGATTTTAATATTTCACACGTGAAATACAGACAGATTTTATAAACCAGTTATAAAGCCCAGGCATGCAGCATAGCTTTCACTAAGTAGTTCCATATAAAGGGAAAAGGGGAAAGCAGTAAGGAGAACAGGAGAACAAAACCGGCAATAGGATTTAGACTATTCTTTCACTAAACCTGTCAGAAACAGTCTACATTTTACCACACATTTTTTCTATTGTCATTCCCCTTAAAATAAGGGTGCCTGTACTAAGGCAGCTTGGACATCTATTTTGATTCATTAGACTAGCAGTACTTTTCCACTTACACAATAAAAACTGTCTTGGCTACAGCTGCTACAACAGAAACATTACAAAACACAGGGGAAAATCAGCCAATGGAGATTAGAATACAGAAGCCTAAGAATAGAGTTGTAGAGCTGAGACAGCAAGGAGGTAAAAGAGATAAGATGAGCCTGTTATACATCTTACTTTGACATTCTCTGACTTCGAAGATAAGATAAAAATGTGGAATATATCTGTAACCTACTACTGACCACAGCAACTCTCAGCAGGAAGACTTACACTGAGCTCTCTTTCAAATGACCATTAGAAATGAAACAATGCTGTCTAATGAAGAGAGCATACCCAAAGTGTGCATAAGATTTAAAGCCTAGTATCTTCCATCTTGTAAACCTCATGCACTTGCCTGCTCATTTAAGTTAAATGTGTGGAACTTTTTACTCAGTCAGGCCCTCATTTCCTTTCTGACATCTGTAAAATGGCATAATAATGTTTGCCTCTTCCTCAGAGAAGTCCTGTGAGGTTTAGTTACTGAGGGTCAGTTTGAAGGCCACCTTCAGCTGCACACAGTAGCAAGTGCAGCTAAAAGGGAAGGAGTTGGAGGAGATGAATAGCTGGAAGTAAGAGTGAGCTTTGGTTGCAGCAAACCAAGAAGCCAGTCACCAGTGTTCCTCCTCAGAAAGCTGATGTCACCACACTGTATCTGCGTAGCATACTGGCAAACAAAGCTTACAGCAACAATGCGTACCTCCCTGTTGTGGTTTAACCCCCGCCAGCAACTAAGCAGCACACAGCCGCTTGCTCACTCCCCTACAAGCAGGATGAGGGGAAAAGAATTGGAAGGGTAAAAGTGAGAAAACTCTTGGGTTGAGATAAGAACAGATCAATAATTGATATTAAAAAAACAATTGTAATGAAAAGGAAAATAACAAAGAGAGATAAATAAAACCCAAGAAAGACAAGTCATGCAAATGAAAACAATTGCTCACCACCAACCGACTGATGCCCAGCCAATCCCCGAGCAGTGGCCCCCAGTCAACCTTCCCCCTAGTTTTATTGCTGAGCATGACGTCATATGGTATGGAATATCCCTTGGATCAGTTGGGGTCAGCTGTCCCAGCTGTGTCCCCTCCCAACTTCCTGTGCACCCCCAGCCTACTCGCTGGTGGGGTGGGGTGAGAACCAGAAAAGGCCTTGACCCTGTGTAAGCACTGCTCAGCAATAACTAAAACCATCCCTGTATTATCAACACTGTTTCCAGCACAAATTCAAAACATAGCCCCATACTAGCTACTGTGAAGAAACTTCACTCTATCCCAGCCAAAACCAGCACACTCCCACAGCACCCACACACCTTTTAATGAAACCAGGTTTTAAATATCAGCCCCTGATTTGGGAGAAGGTGCCAAAACAACAGATGGTATGTCTTTCATGGACATTATGACACCAGTCTATGAATCAAGAGACCTTACTTCAGGCTCCTAGTTTGATCTTCAATTATGTGGAGAGTGCTGACAGACAACACATTTAGCCGATGAAATGGTCCCCAAACTGCAGTGGTCCTTGTCTGACTACATTGCTGCAGTCTAGGCAGCTTAACTCACAGGAAGCTAACACTCCAAAATCAATTTAAAAAAAAAATTTAACCAAAAAATCATTCCCTTATGGGACCATCAAACACTGGACCAGTTCAGCTGTATTATGAAACCATTACATGAGGGGACAAGTACTTAGAAGTCACATATCCCACATGCATGACTGGTGCTCTGATAAGAATAATACCATATAACAATATCCAGGAGAGGTCAGACCAGAACAAATGTCCTCAGTACCTTACCTCCAACAAGGACATAAGCAGATGCAAAAGGAAGAATAAAAACAAGGCAAGCATGTATAATTCCCACTACTACTCTCCTAGCCATCAACTGTTTTCAGCTCAGGGAACTTCTGAGCTCAGTGTGGTTTCTGTATAATTCATAATTCTCAGTGGATTTCTCTTCCACATTTGTATCCATTGACCTCTTGGACCCTTGTCAACTTTTAGCTCCCACAGTACTTGGCAAGGAGTCACACACTGTTGAAGAAGCACCTCCCTTTACTTGCTTTGGCCCTGGTTACTACAAACTTAGTATGTTCTTGTTCTTGTACTGGAAAGGCATGACATTAACCATCCCTGTCTGGGTCACTTGTGACCTTACAGACCTCTCTTACGTTCCCATCAGTTGTTGCTTTTTCAGATTAAAGAGACCTAACTCAGTTGCTTTGTATGTGGAACTCATCCCACTGTTTGATCATTCTTGTTACCGTTATCTGAACTTTCTCAGATTCTACTATATTCTATTGGGAATGGGGAACCAGAACGGTGCACAATACTCAACAGTGCACATTACTCAATAGACCCTGATTACTTGCTAGAATTCACCAGCAAGAGTGACCCTTCCCACCATCATATGCCTTCACAGTCTTGAGACACATACATAATGCAGTGCCATGCTGACAGTTGACAATTACATTCCCCAGAATACTGGACGCGGAAGTTCCTATCAGTAACCCAGTACAGTAGCCTGCACATACTGGAAAAGAAGAGAGGCAATACCCTTTCAAAAGCATTCAGCTATTTTACAGATTAACACCTATGTTACACAGGACATAATTAGGCCATAATAAATTGCTTTGTCAGAACACTGGGAAGGAAGCATAGACTTCATGAATCCCAGCTTTCCTTGGCTCTAAGGATAATACAACAGTGATAATACAATCTCTTTCTCAAAGAAGTCTCCTGTCTCACAGTCTAAACTCTTAATGTTTGTTAAGCACATGCAGTGCAGAGAGATGAAGCAAAATCAAGCAAAACGTTTTTTGACATGCATCCTCTTGCTTCCTGCACTGTAAATCAGGAGTGATGACAGTGAAGTAAATAGCCCAGAGTACCCTTCCTATCAAAGTCTATTTATTCCTACCGTTCCACTGGTGATAAATATGTATAAACATGGTTTACTTTAAGAACTTTATATTTGGCAACAGAGCTGTAAATGGGCATTACTTCCATGAGAATAACACCCAGGGGAGTCACATGTGTAAACTTGGTACCAAAGAGTCAAGAATAGAACCCCTTTAGCCTCTGTTCAGCCAAATTAATCCTCTAGAATGTCTATGCATCCCTATAAAAAAATGTGTTGCAACCTTCAAACTGTAACTTGCCAGAGGTCTATGTGTAGAATGTGAAACTACTGAAGTTGGTTTTTAGCAGTATCTCAGGGCCCATACTTAGTAATAATAGTAAATTTGGTTCTTTAATGGAGTGGTATGCTATCCTCCAGGTAAGCCAGTATAAAGCAAAATTCTTTATTTTATCTCTGTTGCTACTATAGTAATTACAAATACTGAAGATCAGCCACTTCAAGATTCTTTAAAAAAATTCAATTGCAAAATCATGTCAAGTCAAATTCAGTGGCATTCTGCATTTACTTAATAAGGGTCAACAGAATGCTAGCAAAAGGCTAAGTTTAGGTTGAAGCTTCTGCAGCTGTAAGAGATAAGAAAGCCAAAATGTGTCCATTTAGGACCTTAAGATACTTGAAAGGAAAACTAAAGATAAGAAGATTACAATCCACAGAAGAGATGCTACTCTGAGCTCAGAGTTCCAAAGGCACTGAAAAAATCAAATTGCTGACCTGGAACAGAAACTCAGACAAGGAAATATCAGATTGACATGAGTCTTCAGGCTCCAAGACAAGAGAAACTGCAATATTCCTGCCACATGGTATTAGGAAAATGTTGGAAAGAAGATTTAGAGTGGTTGTACAGCACTGACCTCTACAAGGTGCATGCCAGAGTGGCTTGGTCTTTGAAAAGGCAAGAAACCTCCATAGCTTAGCTAAAAGTTGGTGTTTTGTTCCAGCCAGCACATTCAAAGTTGCAAAACAATCTGAATAGTTTCAATGTTCACAGATTATATTCCTTCTGGAATTTACTCCTATGTGGTATTCTATTACAAACAACACTCTTATTTGGCTACAGTGATTTCCACTGTAGAGAAACACAGGCATCGCAAGTGATTAATTTTTTTCTAACAGCAGTCATTAATTTGATATTTCTAATGCAAAACCATGGTAAGCTTTCAGAAATAACAAAGATAATGTAGTGTGGAGTTCCACTAAATTAAGCATTTTGTGGCTATAAATTGCAGGAGACCATTTACTAATGATTCCATTTCTGGGTCACCAGGTTGCATTAAACTAAATCAAGAAGATTTTACCAAGGGCTATAATCCAAGCTTCCTGTGTGCAGTTAAGTACTCAATATATTAATAGAGCATTGAACCAGGAACCATGTAAGAAAAGCATGGTTTTTTTTAATACCATGGGTTTAACAAAAATTTCTTAAAATAACTGAAACTGCGGAGCATAAGGGGAGTGGAACATTTCCTGTATTTCACAATTTGCTTTAGCAGGCATACATGAAATAGTCTTATCAGACCACAAATGCAAGAGGAATGTCTTTGCTTCAGTTTTAAATGGGGCTCTTTTTGTTTCAATGAAAAAACCCCACTGATGGACTTTAAGTTAACATTTTTCTCACTTTGCCTTGCCCAAAGGCTTAACTATAGATCTAACTCAAATTACTTCCCAAAGCTGGACAGTCTCTTCTGTATTCAGGACTTTTTTTCTTTCATAAGCTCTTCTCTCTCAAATGAGACAGAAAATGGTAGTATTTGTTTGGTGTAATTAAACATACCGTTAGTTTCTCTATAATGCTTCAAACCATTACATCTGGTAAAAGTTTTTCTTATTTTCTTGTGCAGTTTTTCTATAAGAGTGTCATTGCTTTTATCATTGCCTCTCCTTGAACTGTTTGTCCAGTGATATTTTAAGTCTTACCACGACTGAAGCAACACGTGTTCCAGTTGTACATTATCAATATAGAAAATCATGTAGCTACTTAGGAGAGAACATTTCTTGAGGATTAATTACTGTTTTGACAAATGTATTGAGGATGGAAAACTGTGTACTTAGTGGCTGAAGCAACACTTTCACTCAGTACATTAACAATCTACATAATGGAGTATATAGGGCCTTAGTAAAAGGTCTGATTGGTTTTTGTGGATTTTGTTGTTCAACTTCTCACCAATAGCTACAAAAATGAACTTGAGTAATAACTGAGTGTTGTTTGTACACCATAGCTTTCATCCAGGAATCTTAAAAACTTTTTAAAGGTGCACATATACTGTTCTTTTTTCTACACAGCTTACAGCCATGCATGCCAAAGTGAGATGCCTAATACAGAATGAAACAGGATCTAAGCTGAGAAGCTCCTAACTTGGAGTCTTCCACTTTACTTCGCTATCTGTTGCCTCACCTCACAGCTGTGTTCTCAAAAGGCACTACCAGGAATATTTAAGTTTTGACTGCACAAGGTATGTGGCTAAACTTGTGCACAGATACAACTGTACAGACATTTTAAGTCATGCATGAATACCGGATATCATCTCTACAGGAGAAAATAATTTCCAAGTCATGAAATCACACCAAAATACTTTTCTGAGCAATGTTTGTTTTTGGCAGGTTCCCTTTATCCATGTCTATCCTGCGAATGTGAAACTCAGTATTATTAAAAGGTGCTGAATCATGATCACTACTTGATTAGCCAAACTACATTAAAACTGTTGACATGTCTGAAACTTGACATCGATTTCATCTTTACTTACAAACATACTACTTGAGGGAAGTAGGACTTTGTCTGTCCTATTTTCAGTTGTCCTAAAGGAAGATATAGTCTCATCATTACCTTAGTGAAGGCTCGGTAGCACAAACCACACAGTTCCACCAGGTAGGCCAGAGTGAAGACAGCATTCTGAATTACAAAGCTTAGTAATTTTGAAAAAGGCTCCAGAAGACTCTGCAATGACATGATTTAGAAAAATCAATAACTGGTTGCTCAGCAAAACAAAAAGCATTCCAACTCTGAAATACCTGAATGGAACAGCATTATTTTTAGCTCAGAAGCTATCTTGCTGGGATTTACACTGTTTCTGTCAAATGGCTATTCTATCTACCATTTGCCTTCCTGCTTGTAGCAGAAAGTAGAAGCAAAAAATTAGAAAAAGTTTCACCTCTGACACAGTGCTTATGAGATATAAGACATTCTGCAGTGTTTATGCAGGAAAACCTCACTGATCTCAGTGGAATTGTACTGCAGAACTTCTAAGGAAGTTCATTACTATCTTTTTTTTTTAAATTAAAAAAAAGAAGGGGTGGGGGAAGAGAGAACATCAAATCTTTAAGAAGATATACATTCACACCCACACAAGAAAGTAATCCCACCCACACTTTACTGTAACCTAGATTCCAAAGCTCTTATCATTCTCCAAAGAGAATTGGACTGCACAATTTTATGCTTATATATAATACTTTCCTAGCTCTGGGATAAGAAGACATTCATAGAATAGCGCGGGCTCGCTAAATCTCAGGCAACAGAGTTTTGTCTTGTTGGAACTTACCCTGGTGGCACTAGTGGTAGGTATCTTCAACAAGCAAATCATGATTCTTAAACTAGAATCTAAAGAACACTGTGAATGTATTTGAAGGCAGGAAAGAAAAAAAAAAAAAAAAGAAAAAAACCCAGCATTAGTACCTTTCCATGCACATGTCTTGCTTTTAGTGGTAGCAGCTATGAATAAGTTATATGTGAATTCTGAAAAATGGTCCCTGATGACTGATCTTTATTTACTTTGCCTAAACTGGCTTATTGCTGAACACACAATCATACCCCTTCAGTGGTAACATACCACAGCATGGGCCTTGACATAAGAAAATTTCACTAAAAGACTAGTTTAGAAAAGTTAACATTACCCCTTTTATGACAAAAATTTCCTAGAAATATATTTTCACTGTAATAAAAAATGGACTGGAGGAAAAAAGAAAAAAAAAGAGTGGGTTAGCAGGAGGTATGCACCATCTACCTCATGTTATATTTCTGTGGTTGCCCTGGGCTATGACATTTTCCCCCACACCCTAAGACAGGGCTGCAACTCACACCCCATAACATCAGAATGCGCCCTGGCAATAGCTGCTCCAGAGGCCCCTCTAAAGTTGTTCCTTATGGTGTAACTGATTTTTCTTCTGCATAAATCACACAGGTTGCAGCAGTGAATGGGACTTTTCAGAGTCTATCCATTGTCTTGCCTCATCCCTTCTGCAAACATCTAGAACATCTAGAGTCATTTATGACCCTAGAGGAAGGAACAGGAGATGGAAAGTTCAGAAGCAAGCAATTGTTTTACTTGTATCGCTAGTGATACCTCCCATGAATAAAAGGGAAATCAGAGTAAACACTCCATCTAAATGTTCTGTGAATGGCAGATATGCAGTTGGAACTATTAAAATCCAATTAATTTGTTTTTATTTATTTCAATTAGACAAGATTAAACAGATTGGGGTGGCTAATATGCAAAGGGAATTGTTACTGCCTGTTTGGCTTAGTAAGTGCTGCAGGATAGCGTCTCAATTTACCAAAACCTAAAGAGGTTTCAAGACCTGACTATTGCATAATAGTGCCAATTTAAAAAACAATACTATAAGTCACAAAGTTAGATTTTGGATCCCTCAGCTCATACTGAGCAACACTGTTTTACACAGAATAAATTACCACTGGGGTCATTCATGCCATAGGAAATAAAGTCAGAATAAGGACATCAGAATGCCATGTTTACTGGAAAGCCTCAGAAAAGTTTTTACTGTGTTTACTGAAAAGACATCTGGAAATGTACACACCAGGAGATAAGATCCCTCTGTATGTCCTCTGAGCACTCAGAAATCAGAGCCCAAAGCTTCTAGATTCAGTTTCTGCAATTATATCCTGATTACAGCCAGAACTACAACCTGGTCAGCCAAACAGGCTAGGCTCAATTCCCAGTAGTCTCAGTTCTCTCTGCCTGTCCAACTATTGTGTACTTTTAGCAAATCTCAAGTGGTGTTCCTCTTCTTGAGAGTTTTCTTTTGTTTTAACAGTTAAAGCCAGATGGATTTTCATTGCCAAAATGCTGATTCTCTCAAATGCAGTATTCTGATCTGGGAAAGACAGGGCATGGAAAGTGTAGAGGAAAAAAGCCAACAGAGACCTGAAGAGTACTCTGGTCAGAGTTGTTACTGTTACCCACAGAAAACATAATTAAAGGGATGGATCAGACATACAATAATTCCAGTCCTCTGGAAACATTAGTTGAATCATTAGAAGATATTCACAACAACTGCTCCAATTTCTCATCCCCAGCTTTCCCACTGTCTCGGTACATCCTGACCAATGGCAGTATAGCTTGTTTCAGTTGTCCATACATCATACCTTAAGTGGCAAAACACAAGGGAGTTTAGTAAGGAAGGTCTGAAACTGATTACTAATTGTGGTCCAGAGGTTGCTGGGCGAATCCATCGGCAAGGCTTCCATAAAGGTAGCAATATTTTCCAAACAGCGCAGCATCGCACCCCCTGCTGGTAAATTCTTTTTGTTGTTTAAACCCTGGGAAACAAATCAAGAACTGTAAACAAATGTACACATGCAGAAACGGTCCCTTAAACAGTATTTGGAAATGCTGAGGTTAATTTGTTCAGACCAAATACTACTCACCTCTACTATAATGCTAATGATAAAATGCTGTGCAGGGAATTTAAACTGTGTATGTGACAGTTAAGTCTAGTTCAGTTCCTAAAGTATTGACCAAAAGATTTTGAGCCAAAATGTTTTAAGGAGGGTCCTAACTCATAACCTGCTTAGACTGGCATGGCAGTAAAAAAAGCAGAACTTGTAAAGTATTCACCAGTGGATTGCCCATGTTTTCTTTCAGACAGTTTTAAACAAGATATCTTCATTAATGTTCAGTAGACCATGTATGCTTTTTTGGCTTGTGTACTAGGGTCAGGACTGGAAAGATATAAGCAGTTTTAAAGTGATGTCAAAATCTTTGTGTGAAGTAACTGCCACGTTCTTGGAAGAGCAGGATACATGCAAGTGACTAGTGCTAGTGGAAGGATAAGTTACAGTAGAAACAAGCCACATGCACAGAAGTCACTCAGTGAAAGGCAGGCAATATATCTTTGCACTACTTAGAGAAACTGCCAGCACATACAGGAGAGAGGGAGAACTGAGATGTATGAGCAGAAATGTTCCTGAAAACCAGCAATAGTGCTGGGGGAAGGGATGGCCCACACTACCAATGTGTAGGTCAGCTCCAGAAGCTGGTCTGAGGCGGGAAACAAAAAAAAAGCTATCAAGTGAGAGCAAAACCCAGAAGGAAAATGGTGAGGACAGCCTAATCCTGCTTGCAGGGATGACAAAACAAAAATTCACATTGCTTTTGGTGATGCAAGTTTGAACTCTTTTAATGAATGAGGAGAAATGATCCAATATGCCTGATAACACTAATCAAACTAGCACCATTAACAGAGCTGATTGCCAACATACCTCTAACAGCTGGCTCAGCGCAGCAATGGAACTCAGTTCACTGAAGTCCATAAGAGACGTGGCCAAGGTCCGTAAAAAACTTCCATCTGAAATTCGAATTACAGTTTTACGCTGACTGTCCATATAGAGGTAACTGAAAGGGACAGAAGTGCACTCAGGTACCGCACATTACCTTTAATATTGCTCTGGAAGAGCTGGGGGAAGATGCCGTTGGGAGCCAGCTGATGGAACACACAACGGAGGAACTGCTTGGCCACACCTGCAGCATTTCCAGGGATCATCATGCTGAAATGAAAGGAATGAAAAGGAAGAAGAAAGAAATTGCATTGCAGATGAAACACTTCTCAAAGTTGACTACATGGAGAAAATAAAGATGATCCTATTCTTTTTAATTATGGAAGTGTTCAGTTATGTGTGAGACTGTCAAAAGCAGAACTGTCCTGAACCCAAAAAACTGTTCAACATGTTGATTTTATGACTTCAGCTCGACTATGCAGAGCTGACAAAGTTATGTACACATACCTAAAGTATTTAAGTCTCAATAAATTGTTGCATTTTTCCTGATTCTCCACATAGGTTTATTTGTGAGTCATCTGAGTTTGAAATATAATCCTGCTCCCATCTTGTGTATCAGGATGAGGTTCTTGGCTTTACCATAGAACACATGAGCAACAGGTAAACACACACATTATAATATTAATTTGCCTCTTGCAGTTTCCTTCAAGAGAGGAAGTACTTTCTAGTCACTCATGAAATGAATGGTATTATTTAAAAAGCTAAAGTATTATCTATTTACTCATAAACTGCACATCTTAACATTCTTTAGAGCTTCTATTCAGCATCCAATTTACATAATAAGGTATCACTATCAGGGGTTCTCCATGGCCAAGGATGATTCACTTGACTGAATGTATGGAGATAGTCTACCAAGAGAAATACTGAACACAGAAGCAGCTATAAAAGCTGCACTGGAATTGTGAAACCAGAAGGCATCTTTAAATTACGTCTCAATCTGATTTTTTTCAAGATCAATACTTACGAATATGGGTTCCTGTTCATCTTCAGAATACATGAGATATTTGAAACAAGTGGGAAGGGACAGGTTTTTCCTCTTACTCACAAATCTTAAATACATTTTTAAAAAGTTAAATTAAGCTGTTTTCAGGGCCAGGGAGAATGATGCTTTAGATTAACTGTTTCATTTTGGCCAGAGTATCCTTTGCTACCATACCTTTCTGCTTGATTAGAAAAATTGGTACTTGATGCCAACCTGGAATAAAAAAAAAAAAAAAATATATATTGAAGCTCATATGCTTTCTTTGCGTTTCATTTTTAAGTAAGCCAATAAAGTATACGTTTTTTTAAATAACAAACAAGAATTTTAGAGAACATTTAAAATGTCACCAGAAAGGTCTTCTGAAGAGCACTTAAATTCAGTCAAATCACATTTGCACAACATATAAACTCTATTCAGTCTTGCAGTCTCACAAATATTTAACAGCTCTAAAGACAATTCTGCTTGCTTCTTTGTACTAGCAAGAAGTAAACCTATTGCCTTACATGCACATCATGGATAATTACTAACCTAGAGGGATTTGGAAAAAAAAAAACAGTTTGCCAAAAGCTGCCTACTGACTGAACTGCTTCTGATTAACACAGCAACATAGACTAAGCCAAAATTCTCTACTTGGCAGTCAGAAGTGAGGCTTCTAGTTCCAGATTTTGGCACCTAAATTAACTGGCCTGATTTCAGAAACACTAAGTACCTATGAGCTCTTACAAAGTCAGATGAGAAACACTGGGTTCTCAAAAATCAGGTCATTTATTTTAGTACCTAAATACAGACTTTGAAGCCAAATATGGGCATTCAGTGATAAAAATACTGAACACAATCTTAAAGCAAAATCATGCACTTCAATATCCAGGGTGTAGACGAACAGAATCAGGGCTTATAATATCAAAGCAACACACCTTTAATACTAAAAGCCACTAAAAAGTGATTTTTAAAAATGTACACTGGAAGCATCTCTTACATACAAAATGCCATGCAATTTTTACTTTTATCTGCTGCGCATCAGCATTTCAGCTGGAATAAGTTGGTATGTTTAAATGGAAAGTTCATAGAGCTATGCTAATTTACATCTGCTGATGATCTGGCCTTCAATGTTTATCTTTGATTCATGATCCTTTTAGGCTGGATTCAGCTGTTGCTCAATCCTCTGTCAGCCTCTGTTCAGAAGACAGTTTCCTCTCTAGTCACCACTGCAAAGTCCAAAAAGAACCCTAAGGCAGCTCAGTTGAATGCATCAGAGTAAACCAAACTGGACGGTGATTTTCATTAATGATGCATGACAAGCTGGGAACGCAGCATACTTTCAACAGTGCAATAATCTCAGGCTGTGTGGTGCAGGGGATTGAAGATTATATTCTCTTCAGTTGTCCCAGCATAAAACAGAAAACCTCATTAGAGCCCCTGACTCCACTGTTGTTAAGAGGAGTCCAAACTAAAATACAACATATGAATTCTGCTGTGCAAACCTTATCCTGGGTGAAAACAGGTCTGAAGCCACCTTCAAGCATTAAAGACCTTTATTCTGGAATAACTGTAGCATCTGTTTACATTAAAGCACATGAGGATTTCTGCAGAATGCAATGAGACTAATCACATGCCCAATAGACATTACACTTACTTTCAAAAATCTACTAAAACATAGAAATACAACAGCATAAAATATTTCTTCTAAAAGAAATCGAAGTCCTATGCAAAGTTTTTCTCTCTTTTTGGATGAAATAATGCAAGTGTGGTTTTTATGATAAACAAAACATTTAGTTTCTAACTTGGGAAAAACTTCATGAGACATAACTACACTAAACACTTGGAAGCATCTGAAACTTTTTGAATTTTACAGCTTGTATGTATTTATCGTTACTACTCTAAATATTTTGTTGCACAAAGGCCATTAACCCACATCATTACTTCCACTTGCAGACCACCAAGCAGAACAGTAAATGGACAGTACACAGTAAATGGATGTGTTCAAATTTATACATGTTAAGAACAGAAGTTAAGCTTTTCAAAGCTCCTCACTAACTCAAGAGCCTAAATGCCATTTTCAAACAGGGCTTTGATGCTTGGAAACCAAAATCTCACTGGAAATCAATGAAATAAGAATCAAAAAGTCAAAAATCTTGATTCAGGAACTACAGCATAAAGTTAAGTGCATGCCAGAGTCTTATAAACATGTCAATCTCTAATTGTCAGTAACTTGAACCCAGAACTTTTTCTCTTCTGAAAATCCCTATCTGTACCTGTGGGTACCCAAATAACTTTTGAAAATCTTTCTCTGTATTGTTTAGGTATTCTGAAAGACCCTGGATTTCCTAACTCCTTGTTTCCTCTTCTAAGCATGAAAGTAGTAGTTCTTTTTCTAAGAATAAAAATGCAAGAAGTCTAATTCATTCTCATCTCTGCTGTCAGATGGGTATTTGGAGGTAACGATACAGCACTGCTTGATGAAAGACAGCAACTTAGGTTATATATGAGGCACCTGAATGACTCTCTGCTTGTATATGTTACTTATTTTGCATGTATTCAAAACAATCCCTTTGTGCAGAGCCTCTTACTGGGCTTAAAATTTGTCAGAAATGACAGCCAGTAGGAACAACACAGGGTATTTACCAGGAATACCCCATGTTGCATGCCATCTGCTGCTCTAAAACAATCAGTTGTCTCACTCAAAGATGCAGCATTTCCTCCTCAAAGCACAGAAAAAGGTAGCCCACTAGGCCCTCATCCCTTGATAATTTATCTTCCAAATGATTTACTCTCTGTGGCTGTAGTACTGCTGTATTTACAAGAATCACACAGAATGGATAGCATCTGTCAAGATTAGAAACTTTGCCTCCATCAGGGTTCATTAGCAATGACAGCAGGGAACTGCAGCCTTGCAATTAATGGAAATAGAGGACTTGAATAGCTGCTGTGTTTAAATGGAATTGAGAGATAGTGGAGAGGCAGGGCTGTGAAGAGCCGTGCCCCTGCAGAAGTCACAGTCAAGCAATTTTAACTTCAGTCACTGAAAAGAACATGGAAAAGGAGAGCTGTGCACCTTTTCTACACTTCTAGTGCTGCTCAGAAGTTTATTCTGAAACACCCCCAATGCATCCCCCCCACCTCTTAGGCAGGAAGTTTTGGAACTGGCCAAGGCAGCAACAAGAAGACAGACAATAGTAATGGTACACTTTAATTATCTCATGCACACTGGGTAAAAGTCACAAGAGAAAAATAACAGACACTGAATGTTTAAAACCTTATCAGAGACAATCTCACAGAGCAGCTGGTTAGGAAGCTCTCATAAGGAGATGCAACTCTTTACTTAGTCTTAATTAGCATACAAGATATGGCTGAAAAGCCTGAAAAGCTTCAGGTATGCTAACGAATGATCACACCTAGGAGTCAGCAGTCCTCCAGGAACAACAAAATTCAGAAAAGCTGACCACATTTGTGCATAACTTCTAAAGCAGGAACTACATAAAAGTGAAAAAATCTGTCAAAGCAGCAAAAAGCGATAGCAAAGAGAATTCAGTCTTTACAAGAAGCACAGAAGTTGTTTAAGAACATTACACTGGAAGCACAGGGCCAAGGTAACCCACTTGTTAAGAAAGACTTCGAGAGCGCAGAAGAAAGGAAAGGTGAGGGAAGTTATTAGAAAAAAGAATGCTTCTTTCAAAAAGCTGAAGTCATGTCTCAAATAAAGTAGACAAGAGCATAAATTCTGACAAATCTAATGTAAAAAAACAGAAGAAGGCAGGCCAAAAACGGTTCAAGGAGCAACTAGCAGAAGGAATAAAAAATAACAGCAAATTTTTCTTCAAATAAAACGGGATCAAGAAGCACACCAGAGAGTATGCTGCATCAATTGCTGTTCAGGTAATAAACAGGGTACTCAAGGAAGATAAGGGTACTGCAGAAAAAATTAATTAATTCTTTACATCGCTGCTTACAGTGGGACCAGCTGGGCAGATTCCCTAGCTGGAACCTCCTTTTGGAGGGTAAAAGGGGAGGACATCAAAAGAGCTGCCCAAAATTGAAGTGACAGTGGAAGAAGTTACATAAGAAACTGATAAAATGATGAGTTACAAAGAAGCACACAGAACCAGATGTTATTCACTTAAGAGTTCTAAAATATGTAACTTCATATAGTGAAGTTTATGTAAACCCAATTCCAGGCACAAAATTCTTTCAATCATGTGGGAGACAGGAAAGTCCTGAATTTACCTTCCTACAGACTGCATGATGTCCAACAGCAGAGGAGCAGCCAAGTCTGGACTAAGGTGAATGAAGGTTGAGAGCACAACTATGGCCAGGCCTAGTGTTTCTTCATCATATTCTTCAAGAATAGCCCCACAGTCATGGCACCTGCAAAGAACAGTTTTAAAAACTGACATTAACAAATCTAAAACAAAGTATTACTATATATACCTATGTGTATAATTATGTCTTTTTAAAGTACTATTATTTAGTACATTCCACTCAAAATTTATTTAGAAAGATAATGTAATTGTGATCTTTCTATAATTAATAACAGTCCATGGCTTTCAAACATTAATAAAGCTTCTCACTAGCTGCACTGGCTGTTTCTTCACTGACAGATGAGAGAGGGCCACACAGCAGGCCTTGTTTTGGGTCCTTCATTGGTAATTGTTAGCTAATTCCCTCACTCTATATTGGACTGCTTCAGCTTGTACTATCCAAGAGAAATCTGCAGCAGTGAAGACTAGCCCTCAGCAACGTGAACACCAGTCAGTTTGTGCGACTTGGGCTCAGGCGAGGGCTCAAGTCCCTGGCACTCTTCTATTTAGTAGCATAGACACAAACGATGACACTCATAGATGATCTTAAAGAGATGGAACAATTTCACATTGTCCTTTCTGTCAGTCATGAATTATGAATAACAAATTATACAATTAGGAAACAATGATCTGATTGGTTCCCACAGCAGTTCTAGCTATTAAGAAAGAAATGAAAGGACCTCCCCAGGGGCACAGAACCTTAGATTTCAGAGAAGTCTCCCTTTCCCAGGGCAGATTTGCTGCTGAGTCACTTATCCTTCCTGAAATGCTCAAAGACAACTCATGAAGTTCTGAAAGGGCTCTGTAATGTCTAATTATAAAGGGGATGTCAGATTTAGGAGAGATGAGACAGGCTTTCACAACCTACAAAAAAGGCAAACCAATGTGGGAAACTGGCTTATCTCAGCCCACTAGGAAGGCTTGCTTAATTTGATCAATCAGTTGCTAATGACTCCAACAGATTGTGATATTTTAACTTAATGGAACTGCACAGGCAATTTTCTTGCCTTTGTTACTGAACAGAAAGAAAATATGCCAACAAAGTCATGAAAGTCAAGCTCAGCTGGTCTGTATGTTAATAGGTAGTGCTATAGTTTTGGCGAAACGGCCAAAGGAAGTGCCAAAGGCAAGCCTAACTTTTGGGATGCTTCACTTTGTCACACAATAAGGTCCACTTCCAGTCACAGCCTGCACAATGGCCCTGTCTTTCTCAGTGATCACCCTGGCATGTCTGTCTACTGGACTGAGTGCAGAAGCACAAGCAGGAACTTACGGTTTCTCTTCCCAGTTTTTAACCAAATCAGTGTACGACTCCTTGCTGACTGCTTTGCTTCTTCATTAAATGAGTACACTTAAATTTAATACTTCCTTTACAGGCATTTTAATCAACCAATTAAGGTTTGCAAAAGCTTTCAGGATCAGTGAGCATCAGCATTAAAAATGCTAGGTTGGTAACTGTTGACATGTAATCACATGTAATCTATTTCAACAGAAACTGAAGGAATTTAAAAAAAGAGCTTTTTTTTTCCCCCTAAGGCAAAAGTGGTTTCTGACAGATCACAAGGAACCCTTGATTTAAAATAGGATGGAAAATGCTTCCCCTGCCCTTCATCCACATGCAATAGCCTGAGTCGTCATTTCACCTGTGCAAACTCACACAGGTCCTACTGAATTAAAAGTACATTTTGCTGGCAGTGTTTAGGACATGTTTACCTTGGGGTAAAAAAATTAATTTAAAAACTTAGCATAGAGATAAATGCCAGAATGGACTTTATATTTCCATAAAGTATATCTATACTTTAACTGACCTATTTGAAGTTCAATTAGTTCTTTGAAAGGAACAGAAAAAGAACTTACTTGTCAGTCATCACAGTGGGCTGGTCATCAGCAAATTCTTCTGGTGCAGGTACAAACATACTGACTATACTGGGTGCTGACAGCAGGCTAGATTTCGTGGCACCTTAAGGCATTTAGGGGGAAAAAAAATTTAAAAAGGAAAGAAAATCACTAAACATAAATCCAAACTGTTAGAAGAGCAGACTTCTAAAGAAGAGCCATAATGGTTTTGCTGTGCATACAAACAAAAAATAAAGTGTGTCTACAAAAGGATATATAGCACATTCCTTGCTTCTGCCAGATAGTTCAAGGTAATTGGAACAATCAATTAAAAAAAAAACCAGAACTTTTTAGAAATCCTTGGAAAAAAGATAACAAAGAACAAAAATTCCAAGCAGGTGGATGTAATTGTAGCTACTCATTTTTTAGGGAGAGAGGATGATTCTACAGTTGCTATGAGACTAGACACCAGAAGATTTGCAGTCTTCCCACGTACTTCTGGAGAATTGTCTTCCCATAGTTCTCAGTGACATAAGCGGTCCCCAAGGGCATCTCATTCTAAAGACCAATCTATGAAAGGCTGATTTTGTGAACCAATTTTAGAAGAGTACCAATGCCCTTTTGGTGCCAGTTCAACCACAGATTAAGTAATCCATTATCAACTTTCTTGCTGGTTGCTTCAATCTACAGATTCAGATTTAATGTTAACATTAGCCTGTTCTGATAATATTTAACTATGGAAACAGGAGGAAGCTTCTCCACGTAAGCTAGGTTCAGATGGAATTTCTGATGAGATAATTCCAGTTACTGCAGGAAAAGCAAATTTAATATCAGCTCTCAGACAAAATAATCTAAGAAGCTCCCACAGTTTCTGAACTCAAAATATGTGGAGTGATGAAGGCTTGTTTCACAAGCATAAGACAGGTTTTAAACAATCATTTTACTAAGTATGGAAGGAAATATTTCTTTTACATATGGAGTTCAGTACTTCATAATTGTCCCCTGAGATTTTGCTGGATATGAGCAGACACTCCAGGAAGCCTAGAATACTCTTCAGTAATGTAGGACACCACCCAGAATGCAAGGAATAGGACTAGATTTTCACATATTTCTAGCCAGTTTTTTTCCCCCCTCACAAATGAATAAAGATCCTTCTACCATGACTCTGAAAGTTTCACTGTCATGTTTTCTAGATATAAGTCCCACTGCAGCACACAAATGAAAAAAGCTGCCATAATGCAGGTTACAATGCTGGAATAAGACTTAACTACTCAAAAATGTCCTCTCTCGTGCACTGAACAGTAGGAAAAAGACATGATTTAGGCAAAGAAGGTAGGTCACTGCTCCATTGCAAGGCTCTAAGAAAGCCTGGACGTATTTCAGCTGTGAGGGAGGAGAGCTCATAAAGGAATGAGATTCAACCACACTCTGTATACAGACTCCTTTTACTTCCAGGTTGACAGCCAAAACACGTACTAGCAGAAAGCCAGTACTTATCAGTTGTCCCTGTCTTGAATGAAATGTCTTGTCTAATAATTCTTCAATAACCTACATTCTGCAGGACAGTTGAGGGCTTTAATACAGCTGACTGGAACATAAAATTCAGCACCATTTGGTGCTAACCAAAAAACCTTCCTGGCAGTCTTAGCAGAGATATCAGGTCAAATGGACACTGAACTAACCTCTGATTCTTAGCGGTGGTCCCTCCAAGTCAGGGTTTAGGCAACCAGGGACATTGCACAGCCGCTTTCCATGCTGTATCTGCTCTGTGAATAAATACAGAACTTCAGTCTCCAGAACTATGAATCCAGCACTTGTTACCAGCTCCCCAAGTTTTAAACAGTTAAAACAAGAGAAAAACAAATACAACAGCTATTGAAAAAACAAAGAAAAAAGTTCATTTTTTAAGCACAGATAAGGCGGGGGGTGGGGCAGGGAGATGAAGGAAGTCCACAAAGGAAAAAGGACACAGATAACCTAATACCAAAGAAGGCATTTTAGAAAAGTAAGTGTCATTAAGCAAGAAAGGAAGTGCTAGCCGTAAAGATTCAACAAGCTATGGAATATATGAGTCACAAAAAGAGAAAGTGTTTAGGAATACCGAGACTAGAAGTCAGGTATAGTTTGTGCTGATAGGAGTCAGACACAAAATGATTCTATTTTGCAGACAGCAAGCTTGGGAAAAAGAGTGGTTTGAAGTAAGAAATGAAAGAGACATATCATACCTGCCAATGTAAAAAAAAAAAAAGGCAAAAAAAAAAAAGCATGCATGAACCAAGCACGCATCATATACTTATATGGGATAAAACTATTTCCTAGTTGTTATACCTGAGTATAATGAGTCTTAAAATTGTGGTGTGACATTGAAATGACAAATAGTCACACTGAGCATTTGTCCTGAAAAAAACCCCTGTTTTCTGTCCAAATAATAATTTTAATTTTAAGCTAGTGTTTGAAAAAGAGACTGAGAGATGCAAAGCTTCCCAGCTTTGTATCTCCAGATACTTTGTATCTCCATGCTTGGAGGCCTTTAGCTGGTGTGAATGTTGGAGGGAAAAGTCACAGATGTTGTGAAGAAAGCCAGTGGACTTGGAACAAGATTCAGAAGACAGAGTTCCTAAGTGGTTTTGAGTACTGACTTGTTCCTCTTGAATACGTCTTGCAGAATGAGAGCAATAACTTTTTCATCTCTCAACCCCTGCCTGAGCAACTAGGTGATACCAGCTAAGTCTCTTCAATAAACAAACTTACCTGCTAATAGGACAAAGAAAATGTTGTTATCATTGACAAATTCTGACCTTTATGATTTAAGGATCTCATGCTGAGCATGCCACTCAGCAGACTGGAGTAGAAAGGATAATCCTGAACTATATACCATACTTTTAGCCATTCTTCAGCTACAAGACTTAGTTTGATGGAACTTGATGCTGAAGACTGAATTAAGCAAAAATTTTAACTCAGCTGTCCAGAACCGGTGGTGAAACATTCATTCAGCATGCTAAGTTCCATATAACATTTTAAGCACTCCTTTCTATGGATGTATCTGGATCTGCTGATAAATTCCTAAGAAGCATGATTCTGTAACGTCACTAACATCAAGACAGGCAATAAAATATCTAGCATTTATGATAAACCAGAACTAATTCATTGTTTAGTGAAATCTGGTATGAATTTGGTCATAACAGAAAATCTTCTATAGAAGAAAAAAAACAAATAAACCACTTGAGTAATGAGGAAATTATGTGCTTAATTTAGTTTTCCTTGCTTTGCATTCATCTTAAAGGGAGAAAAAACAGGTCAGTGAGTGAACAGAAACTTCAGGTGTTCAGCATGAGCTGGCAGAAACTTCTCTACAGAGAAATAAAACTGGCTGGTATAAGGCACAACTCCTTGGTGTACCAACACCATTGTAAACACACATGCAAATAAATGATTCCATGCACCAGGGATGAAATCCTATACCTAATGAAATCAACAGTGATACTTCCATTTCATTCAGTGAGGCCAGGAAATAATCCAAGTAATATGCAAAATTGTGGGGACACCACTGTACCAGAGGGACTACCTCCCAAATATGTAACTATTCCGATTCATACCAGGTGAGAATCTGGTACTCACTATAAAGTTTCACTTCAGACTTGAAATTGATTACTTATCTGCAACAGTAAAATAGAAATACTCACTTTTTTAATGGATTGATACAGAAAGTAATTGGTTTAGGAAATAGAAATAAAGAACAATAAATGCAGCTCACCAGTATCCCAAGTGCTGATATTGTGGGGAGCACTAGACTGGTGTTCCAGCTGCCTCTTCATTAGCTGGTTCATTGTCAGAGCTCCCAAAGAGCCTCTTTTCATTTGTCTGAACTGAGCTGCAAGTCAGAAATGCAAAAGGATTTCAGGGGCTCAGACAACATGTAACAACTACTCTTTTTTCCTGATCTTACAAGCCAGCATGAGATAAATACTGAAAGGACAATGACTGCTCCCTCTGAGGATCTTGCTCAAGTCAATATGCACTTTTCACACAACTACACAGGGTACAATTCTGGCCCCAATGACATCAGTCATAAGTGACTTTGATTCAGTATCTCATCTGCTGTGCCAACTGTCAGTGCCTTTTTGTCTCCAAATATCATGAAAGCTCTTCAAAACACTTGGTATCTGTGAAGTGTAAGATACTACCCCAAAATTCCCATGCTGACAGGTGATAAACGTGTACTTGAATCTCACTCACATACAACATACTGAGGAAGGAAACTCAGTCTCCTCCCAGCAAAGTATGGAGAACTGCGTAACACCAGCACCCTTCATGGGTGATGCAACCTGAACAGGCCTCCTAAATACCTGCCACTCAGGCATACCACCTGGACATTATTCTGAAGTGTGAAGCCAGCATGCCTTCATCTGCCTTTCTTCTTACATGGAGCTATCAAGCAACAAGCATTCGATTTTTCCTCATCTGACTATTTACAATACTTCTTTAAATGGATATTACTCTTTGCTTTAAGAGATGTGTTTCACTGGATAATGCTCACACACACACACACACACACAAAAAAAATGTGGATTTAAAATTTAAGACTTTTTGGGTCATGTATTTTCTCAGTGCTTAAATGGAGGAAGAAACAGATCATATACAACTCCTCTTTTTTCTCCATTCTTAAGAAAATTCAAATTTGATGAACATAATACATTCACTTTGACAGTTGAGTCTGAGCAATATATTCCCACCACTGAAACCACAATCATTGTTCACAGTATGAAGACAGAGTTCTAAGGCCCTGCTTGACCAAGGTATGTGAGACTGCTGACACGCATCTCCATACAGGAAAGCTTTTAAAATGTTGCCTTAAGCATATGTTTAAGTCTTTCCTCAACAGGGCCTTAAAGCAACAGCAAAAAAGCAAATTCTTCTCCTAATGATTATTTTCATCTGCAGCTACATTCAACATCATTAAAAGAGTATTAACATAGTATCAGGTAGTTCCGTTCTGAAATTCCAAACAGGACACAGCTAAGCTCTGAAAATAAACCCAGCATTTCACATCATTAACTGTGATGAAGAAGTGCAGACAAGGGATAAACTACAACTTTCAGAAAGCTCTGAGGGCTTGAGTGCCTTCTCCGAAACTTGCTCTACTCCGTTTCTATCTGAGAGTTTCAAATTCAGAGAAAGCTGAGTACTCCCTAACAAAACAAATACAGGCCCTGAGTAATAAGAAACACAATGATAACTTCAGTGGGAATCTGCACACTGAAATTATTTTATTAGGTGAAGTATTTTAAGTTTTCCCTCATTATATTCTTTCAATGTATCAGAGTGCATTTGAACTCTATTTTTGGTCCAAGTACAAACTTCTCCAGCATTGCTGCAAAGCAGTCCTTGTATAACTGAACTTCTGGAACTGAACCAGACCAAGAGACCATTCCATGTTTCACTTTTAAAAGTTATATTGCAGCTGCCTTTCACAGCAAATTAGGAGAAAAATAGAATTTCCATCGTTTCCAGGGCAAGGATTTTAAATAGATGCCTTATCACTTTATCAAGCATAGAATTTCTTGATGAAAGAACAGCAATTAATGTTAGAACTGACAAGACTGCTTGGAGTGCAGATGACAGTCAAAATATAGAAAATTATCTCTTTGAATGTTCATAACAGCTTTTGCGATTGTAATTAAAAAGATTTCATGCATATTTCACATTATCAGGCTATTGTTGAGCAGGTCTGGATCTCCAGGGTTATTTACCTGATTTCTCAAGGACAGCCATGATTTCAGATATTGGTAAGTTAAGAAAAAAATCTAAAAAACAAAAAACCCAGGGAGCTGCCAGCCTTTGAACAGCATTGGAGCCAGGCTGATTGCTGTGGACCAGCATGTGACTTTTCGTGCCTATGACTGAGTAGAGGAAGTTTTCCTTGATCAGATTTTCTACAAGAAACCTAACAATCATGATAAGATCAGTAAACTTCACATAGTAGCTGGTGAGCCATTCATATGCTAGCTAGTGATCTGGTCAACCATCCCTCCATTGCTGTGGAATTCTCTACTCAAGAAGAGAAGTCCAAAGGCAAAATCTTCTTATTAGAGTTAATGATGTATGCTTTCTGCAGCCAGGCACTGGCTGTACAGGTGATGTTATGTATGTGTGTTACAGAAGTGCTTTGCGCTCACAGTCCTGATCAGGGCTTATTATGCAAAGCACTGTAAAGACACAGAGTAGAAGGTCAAAAATATTTCAGTCTAAATGGACAAGAGACACAATAGAAGCATTTGTGCCCCTTTTTGCAGTTGCAAACTGAGGCACACAGAAAGAGAAAAGGAATGTAGGCTCAATATCATATAGATACTATTCCCGATTTCATATATTGGAATTTACAGGAACACATAGCACTCAGTGAAACCAGACAGAGATAGGCCTTAACTGGCACCTCTTTAGGTGCTTTACTAAGTGACATCTGTACCATTAGGTCGCCAACAAATGTACTCGGACTACAAGAGGCACATGACACAAGACACTTGTGCTAAAACTGGAGAGGAAACCTCTAATTTGGAGTCCTCATCTAGCATGTCTAAAATAACATCTTCCTTTAATAGGCCAGACACTGCGTCAAATCAAATCAGCAGATACTGAATTTCAGAAATTAAAATTTTACTTTTCTACAGCAATCTGAAATTGCAGTTTAGTAAGACAGTTGAGCTGATCTAGCAGCTCACTGGTATCAAAGCAGGTCATCATTTCCCCTCCCTTTTGTCCTAGTCAAGAGTCCTGCCCCATCAACCTTCAGATGTGTTACTTAACATTACCTAGATGGACACGCCATTCTGGATTTTGTTAATGTCCTAAGATGCCTCCACCTTCCAACGTTATCTACATCTGCTCTGTTAAGCCATGTGTCAATGTCTACTTAAACCAACCCAGTTCACCTTCCACTGAAATGGGTATGGGAGTCTCAGATAAATAGTTACCACATTTCAGCAAGCAGCTGAGGAAGTAGTATTTATTTCAAGGCATTTTACAAAAATTGCAAGTTTTTTTTTTTCCTAAGGTACAGCAAGAAATGTACTGAAGACCATAGTAAAAGCCTTGTGGAGTTCTCATCCTCTGCTTCTGTGCACTGGCAGTTGACAATGCTTTCTCTCACTGGAAAATAAACATTCAGTTTTAGTGAAATATTGCTTTTAGCTGCTACCTACTCTAATCTAAGAAATTGAGTGACAAATTACCACATTTGTCAAATCTGCCATGTCACAACAGAAAATCTTGCAGCCACTAACTGCTAAAATCCTACTGACCATCAGAGATTTAACAGATCTAATGGTATGCAACACAGCTGTACTTCCAAGATTGCATGAAACTCAGGGGAAGGCATTTACCAAACACGATATGCATCTGACGCACAAATACAGCAACTTAGATTTAAGCCTCAAGCCACAGGTAAACTTACTTGATATAGAAGAGTGACTACTTGTCTCCGGGACACCTGCTTCAAGGGTTGGTGCAGATGATGACTCTCTTGGCATTTCCAGTGTTGAAAGTCCTTTGGCAGCGGGATCTGCATATGAAAACTGTGCTTAAACTCTCAGTGTTAAGAATCAATAAATATTTTCCATCCGTTTTCTCCCTGGATGCCTTTTTCATATCTTGTCAGTAATCCATTCATCATCTGGCATTCCCAGCAGTTTTAAAAGGATTCAATGTGTGTGTCATTAGAATTTTTATAGAGACACAGGTTATCTATTGCTTAAGATAACTTTTTAAAGGAGATTTCTACCTATGCTCTTTAAAGCCCAGAACTAATAAATGCACATGGAGTTTGATTTTGATCCCACTCACAGAGTGATTATCAGAACCATCAACATGGAAATAAGAGAGGTACCACTGATGTAAAGCTAGTTTAAGTGACAGCTTAGCGTCTTTTAAAAGCCTTGTCTCCAACTTGTTATCAGTTTTAATTCAAAAGGCTGCTGATCTAGCAGTTGATCCTAAAGATTCAAAGAGTTTAAGATTCCATCATTGAAAAGAAAAATAACCCATATAATGTTTTTATTTTATGATAACTGGTACTGTTAATATGGGAAGAATAAAGCAAAGAAATTTTCAAGTGTTGATGGTTGGTTTCAGCATATCCTATGAAAATGAATATGTAACTGTGCTGTAAAAAGTCTCAGGCGGGAAACTCTGTAGCCCAGCACTGTGCACTTGAAGAAACAACCTATTAGCGGATATTTGATTTAGAGATCAGTTATATCAGAAGCCTTTCTAAAACATACGGAAGTATAATAGGCTGACAAGGCTTGAATAAGACTTTGAAATTATAATCAGCCCACGATGGCAACATTAAGCCTACTTAAATGAATTACAACACATATGTTCTCAAATAAACTAATCAATAACAAATGCAGGTGTCATTCTCTTTTCCCAAGTAACAAGTGATAGGACTAGAGGAAATGGCCTCAAGTTGCACCAGGGGAGGTTTAGATTGCCTATTAGGAAAAATTTTTTCACCAAAAGGGTTGTCAGGCATTGGAACAGGCTGCCCAGGGAAGTGGTTGAGTCTCATCCCTGGAGGTATTTAAAAGACGTGTAGATGTGGTGCTTAGGGATATAGTTTAGTGGTGGACTTGGTAGCGTTAGGTTAACGGTTGGACTTGATGATCTTACATGTCTTTTCCAACCTAAGTGAATCTATGATTCTATGATTCAAAAGCACTCGGCTCTCTGTTTTTACAAAGCTCCAGAGGTTCTTCAGCTTACTGGAACCATAAATGGGATGACAGGCCTGAAATATAAAGGGAACAGCATAACTATAATCACACTGAATGATTTCTCCTTGTAAAAGTGCAATATCGTAATAGGAAATTATACTATAGTTCCCTCTGAAGCAATTAAGAAAGAAGTGAGGTCAGGAATGCATAAATATTCCCCCTCACTTCACTGGCAACAAAGAACTTGGGCCTGAAGGATTCTTTCCTTTTTTAATTAATATGTTAAAAGAAGATTGGCAAAATTCTAATAACTGAAAAATCCTGGGAAAAAAGCCACAGAAGTAAAGAGGCAGCAGCATACAGTTTTTAAAGCTGTTTGATACATCCAGTTGGAAACTGTGGAAACAGCTAAAACACACTTTCTCTCCACGTGAAAAACTTAGTAATAAAACCCTGTATTGAAGTGACCTGAAAAAACTTGGGATACACAGAAACACTGTATGGCTTTCCCCATGCTTGAACTTGAAGTCTTTAACAAACACAAGCCATGTAAACCAATACAAAGAAGGCTACAAAAAGTTTTTAGTGTATAAAAACAAAATATGTGTGTGTCTGATCCTGAATGCAAACTGTGGTTAATTCTAAGTGCTCTTAGTTCTGAAGTCCACAGCCTGCTCAGCTTTACACTTCATGATCCAGTCTTCTTTCCGCTGTCTTATGCTTGCAGAAGAAATAAAGGCCAAAAAACACTACACACAAAAGACAATCAGTGTAGCATGGACTAAGTTAGCAGGATAAAAGGCACAGAAATATGACAATTTTTCTGACCCCCCGCATAGGAGGCCACAGAGTTTCACTCCCTAACTTGGATATCAGAACCACTATTTTTGTTGCTGAGCTCCACTTCCTTTTCAAATGGGCTCTCACACATGCACCATACCTGTGTGGTTAGTACATTCCTTGTGAGAAACAAACACCTGAAAGCTTTCAGCTAGCTCAGACCACATTCGATGCTATGTATACACATCGCTCCCAATACATATACACATCTCTCCCTACACTGGTCTGTTACTAAAACCTTCATGCAGTAATAAGCCTTTTGATTGGGTCAGTGATTGAGCTCACCTGCTTCCTTCTGCTCTCCCAGCTTGTCAAGGACGTTAAAGGAAATGTCCAGGTATTCTCTCTGAATAGCACTCACAGCAATCTTCCTCTGCTTCCTCTGGCGAGGGACAATCTGAATCTTAAATTCTGACTCCTCAGTCTCCTCTTCTTGTTTCTGCTCCATGTTTTGTTCTGTGTCAGACTCTGTGTTGGTATCAAGTTTATCACTTTCTGTTTGGTTTTCAGAATCTTCGGGGACTTTAATAAGGACTGTCTTTACATTTGGGCTTGGAATTGCTCCACTAGGTCTAATTTCCTCCATGCTGAGCTCAGAGGTATCATCAAGGGACATTTCTGGAAGGGCAAATGACTTCTGCAGCAGGTCCCTTTTCTGTTTCAGTGTTAAAGGGTTCCCACAGGACACGTCCTGAAGTTCTTCTGGCTTAACTAACTCTGAAGAATCTTTTTGATGTTTTGGAGAAGTGGAAAGGATCTCTTCTATTCCTGCTGAGGCATTGTTGCTTGTATCCTTAGAACTAAAGTCTTTGGAGCAATCTTCAATGCTGAACTGGACCAAAGGAGTCGTGCTGAGACTGAGTGCAGAGGCATTGACAGGAGTTGAGGAAGACGACGCAGCAGTTTTGCCAGACACCTCATCGTTCAGCTGGTTTGTTGTTTCTTCTTCCTCATCGCTCTCCACTATCCTAAGGGGAGGAAGTGGTTCAAAGACTAAAGAGTCACTGTCTGAAGTGGAGAGTACTGAATGCTTTTCAGGACCCGATGTTGAGTCAGAGGACAAATCTATCAGATCTAAATCTTCCTTGGGACCAGCAGGTTTAATTGGAGAGTCCACTTTCACTTCATAGGTTTCCATGCAGTTTAACCTAACTTCTGGTATGACAGGTCTTCTTGTTTCCTGGAAACTCTCTGTACGAGGAAGATTTTCTTGTGTTTCTGTATTTTCAGCTTTAGTAGAAGAATTCTGCCGAGATCGTCCATAATCACTCTGCCTGTGTATGGCGTAAGCAGCAGGGACAGGTGGTTTTTCTAAGTCACACCGGTCTATGCAGGACTTCCTGCGATGTTCATCTAATGAAAACAACAGGGAGTCTGCATTCCCTATATCAAGAGATTTTTGTTTTAGAGAGCGCAGTTTCTTTTTCTGAATGCTTTCTTCTCTCACACAGCGTAGAATACTGTCTTGTAAGGCCCCCGTCTCTCTATATTCAGCCAGCTCTATTTCACCTGATTAAAACAGAAAGAGCTAATACTACCTCAGTTGGAGACTTATGGCAGATATCTTCATCTTTACCTCACAATTCAACACGTGACTGGCATTTCAAATACAAACCCAGTATTAGTCAAAATTGTCTAAATTTTGTTTTAACCTCAAAGCCACATTACAGATTTTTACAATGAACGCTATTTGGATAACAGGGTTTATCTAAATTCTGTCCAAATTCTACTCATCCTGGACAGATGTACCCTGAAGATAGACTGTTTAACCTTATGCATTGAATAGAAGATAGTACAGGCAAGTAATTTCTACAGACACTTGGGATGGCTACATTAGGCATGAGAGATGAAAGAAGAAATGAGCTACACAGACCACTCCGAAGAGGTTTCAAAATAAATTTGGACTACAGCTTTGTGGACACCATTTGGACATCAGCGTATATTAGAGCACATCTACATGTTATTTACTGCAGCTAAGTGGGCTTCAAATGGATGCTTCTAATTCAAGAAGCAAGGGTAGCAATAGCAGTGAGGATGCAGCACCACAAGCCTGAGATCAGACAGGTGTTTAGAGAATTTTTCCCCCAGTGATCCTAGACCGCCGCAGAGTCTAGCAACTATCACACCACAGTCACACCTCCCCGTCCCAGGGAGGAGTAAAGTGAGCACAGTTATACTTGCTGGTACTACCACTGCGTTGGTATTTTACTATGTGAACACATTCATTGAGAACATTTTAAAACTTTATCACTGTTGTTATTATGAAAGACATATTTTCACATAAAACAGAATATTCCTGATCATTATTATCCCCATATTTCAAAATGTTTCCATATGAATCACTATACAAAAAAAGCAGTGAGAAAAGTTAAAGTAGATGTTTGCTCTAGCCAGAATCATTCCCCCCCTGTGGAAACACCTGAAAGAAAAAAAAGGCAGGTGGGTGGTGGTGGAAATCTCTTCAATTTTTTTTAGGGTATTCATTTCAGAAACCTAATTTGAAAACAAAATCCTTCCTGTTTTTTGAAACGACCAAATGACCCTTTTTATCAATGGAAAACTATAATACTTGCAGCAGCAACAACGAATTTGCTTACCCTAGAGTCTCACCTCATCAAAAAAATCAGTTTCTGGAAAAGAATAAATTTGAATAAAAATCTTCAGACCAATGGTGGAAGAAAATTGCAACAAATCCTCTTACACATTTTTACATTCAAAAGAGCTTAAATTTTCAGAAAACAATTGCTGATTTTAGATATTTTTATTTTGGAGTGCCTACTTTGAGACTCCTGTAAGAGCATTCATTCAGGGAAATGAGGAGTACCTGCTCTCAAAAGTCAAACAGAGTCCTTGTATTCAAATTAGGCAGTGCAATAAACTCTACAAAGAAAGGTGGTAGCTTGAAACTAAGACTAGGAAATTGTATTTCTGCATGAGTTTATACCAACAAAACAATTCATACTTCTCTGAGCATTCATCTCAACTGGTTGATATTTCACCATTTTGCTGCCACCAATTCTTTTCAGTCTTGCAAAGAAAGTTTGAGATTCTTTATTGCAAGGTCCAGTTGGTGTATCATGAATATCAGATTCATCAAAAACACTGTCTTCCTCTGCTGGAGAAAGAAAAAACTTTATTACTCTTAAGAGAGTGCAATTCCTTGAATGAAAAGCTGTCTGTGTAACAAAACCTCAGCTAGTTTCAATTAAACTTGAATTGGAAAATGAAGAATCACCTGAAGTTTGCAAGAAAATTTATATTCCAGGTATAACTTTGCCATTCTTGTTACATCTTGAATTAAGGTCAGAAAGGACAAAGATAAATGAAAAATGGGTTACAATGCACAAAAGCGTATCAAAGCTTTTACCATCCTAAGCTGATCTTTCCTACTAATAATAATACGGATTCTTTAGATGGAAGGAATAGAATATATCTGGATACTGACTTGAGTAAATAACTTCTATAGTGCTCAGTGAGAAATGGTAAATTGAAGAACAAAATCAGTATCAGAACTGCGAAGTCAGTAATAAACCAGCAAAACAGGAAAGTGAAAAAAGAAGAAATGGGTAATCTTGGGAAGCTGGTTACAGCAGTAGAGTAAGACCTAAGAGGATAAATTATGAAATTACTAATCTAAGTAGTAATAGTAAAACATTATGCTCTAATTTGAGACTTGGTGGTTGAAAATGGCAGACAGTAAGAAAGATACAAATCTATTTACTCATCAAAAAATAACGACATCACTTATATTAATGGAAATAAGAAACACTACTGGGACAATAGAGAAAACAGAGCACTCAAGAGAAGAAACAAAAAAGTTTGCCTTGTTTATTCTAATAAGCAAACATGGAGAGGAAATGCATTTGGTGTCTAGGAATGAAAAGGCAAGTAAGTCAAAGAGTTAGAATGGCCAAAAACTGAAGAATGGACATTAATATCTTCAGCTTTGAAATTGGAGGAAAGTTTCTACTACATGTGGAGCTATGGAACTGCCACCTAAAAGCATCAAGGATAAGATACCTACTTGATGTGATGAATCCAGAAAAATCAGTCAAAGTTGATAGTAAGAATTTCTACAGGGACTAGGTTTAATAAGTTAGGAGATCACTTCTAACATCATGCCCTATGTGTCTAACTTCTTCTTCCCCTTGGCAACAAATGCTTCTTCTCACAAGATTTATCATCAGCTCTACAGCAGTCTGTACACTTGCCATGATCCCCCCAACAAAGCTTTGCAGAAAAATTAGGAAAAAGGTTCAATAGTGGGAAAATCCATCTTTAGCATAGCGATTCTTGCTTCCTGACAATGAAATCCTCATCTGTTCATCATCTAGACACCACCTTTGATGATGACAGCAGCACACACACTACCTGACCAGAGACTAAACAAGCCTTAGAAATGGTGGGAAAGGCTTCAACTTTCCAAGTCCTTATGGAATTATATCAGCTGCTTCTTGCAGGTGGAAGAAAACTTTTCTACATCCTCTTTTTTCTGCAGCACTTCAGCAAAGGAAGAGAATCAGCCCAACAATTAAGTCAGCATTTACAGAGTAAAATTTGCCCATTTATGGTCCTTCACCTCTGAGCAGCCCCAAGCCCTTCACAACAGCTCTGGAAAGCAAGTAAATATTATTCTCCTTACTTTAAACATAGGGAAACAACGATGAAGTGCGACACAAGGCCACCCAGGGAATCAGTTTTGGACGCGGGATTGGAACATGCGTTTTCTAAACCTAACTTGGTGCTTACCGTGAACAGCAAGCTGGGTACTTAGGTACCTTGCTTTGCCTTAGAAATGTGTCAGAATCAATCCAGAAACGGAATGCATTTTACAAATGTATTACTACTACCTCCAGCATTCTTAAGTTATTATGAATTAAGTCATTAACTCAGCTCAAAACAAAGACAAATTCATAGTAAGTCCACAGTTACCTGAACGCTCTTAGCCATCCTCTAGCAATACAAAACATTCAAGTGAGTGAGAATATGCAACACATCATTTACATCCATTTTAACGTTGCTTTAATTTGCTAGAGCTGTGTAATAGGGTGTTCAGGTAAACAAAATTTTGTGTCCTTGTTCTGCTAGATATCTTTTTATGAGCAACAAGCAGCAAAAGATGAAAAAGTGCTGACACAGATAAAAAGAATGCTTCTCGTATTCTTCTTCAGAACAGTTTGCTGCACACTAGGAAGACTGTTTGAGAAGGACGATGTAAATAGCACACAAGCAGCTAAAAGGTAAAATAGATGAAAGGCAGCTACAGATTAACATCCAAAGAACCTGTTAAGCTTGGATCATAAATACTTATCACATAATAAACTTCACAATTTTAAGGACCTACACTCAGCAACACCATGTTATTTCAAGCCCCAACCTTATACCAGTTCACACCATCAGAGTACCTGTTACAGCTGGCAAGCGCATACAGAGTTAACAATTGGACACAGACTCCAAGGGCTGAACCATTCTCTTCCCCCTTTAGACATCTACATCATATACATCTGCATGTAAGCTAGTCAACTTCAGCTCCTTTTACAGACAAAAGCAAACTACAGACTGAATTCACCATTTTCTCTTTTCAACATCAAGTATTTGCCACTATGCCACGTTATTATAATCAGAATGCAGTGTCAGGCTGGTTGCACACCTTGTGTGTGGACATGATCAGTTAATATTATCATAGAAAGGCCAAGGACCATCCAGGCATGGTGACTGAACTACTAAGTCTAAGGTACACTCCCTCCAAGAGAAGTTAGACTGCTGTGCTATGCTTAGCCTACAGAGAAATTGTGAATTTTTTTTGCTGTACATGGCTATAGCTGGTCAGGTAAGTCACACCTTGGACTTAATTCTGAGTATTATGTTCTAAAATTCAGGCCATATTTACCCGTTTCTACAACATCTGCAAGACGTAATGAATTAAATCAATGACTATCATATAAATGACAGAGTTGAAAGTACCTTTTTCTTTTTCACTGTATCGGCTTATGTTACTGTTGTCACTATACAAAGGACCAGCAGTTGCATGGGGCTTGCAGCTGTGATATTGAGCGTTGAGGGTATTGACTGTGATGTGGATTAGGTGAAGTACAATCTTGCTGATTTCACAGTCTCTGTAGGGGTACTGTTTAGTGAAAGAGAAAAACTTCAGCTTAAAAACTAACTTTTCTCCTTGGATAAACATTTAGGCAGTAAAATAGAAAAATGACAAGCATATTGTCAGCTGGATACCCTTTGCCTTCCTTTGATCATACACTTCTAAATACATCATGAGAAGCAGGACTGTTTTCAGCTTTGTACACAGAATTATTTAAATTTTTTTTTAAAAAAACCCTGTAAGTAAGATTTAATATATTGTTTTCTTGACTTTTATGACAAAACCAACCATTAATAATAATGCAAAAGGTCTTTCATCAGAACTGTTCTCCAAATACTCAATTTCAATCAGCATGTTAGCATTTCTAGTGTCTCCACTTCCTTGTATGTCCTACAGACCTGCTAAAAATTTGTTAAGCATATCAAAAGTATTCACAGCTCCATTTCAGTGCATAAAAACACATTACATGTTAACAACACTTCCTAAAAAGCATCACTTAACTAAAGAATACAAGCTGACCCCCCCATTTAAAGTTACTCAATTTTTTTTAAACTAATTCTAAGTCACTCAAAATACTATTCATTGGAACTTTATATAGCATTTTCCTATTTTCAAATCTGTATTTTTCTTTCTCAGGTAACCATGTGAAAGACAATATAGACAGCAGAAGTAATAGGTCAGTAGCACAGATGAAAGGCTAACTACTTCAGACACTGAAATTAAATACAGTGAGTAAGCAAATCAAAGAAAAGGGTTCTTTACAGTTCCTTTCACTTGCAGTACAGTTAGGTGTTCCCGGTAATAAATTTCAAACTGATGTAAATTTTAAGACGGACAGTGTCTTTTTAAGACCACTCACCTTATAGAGAATGACAAGCAAAGCCTTTAACCACATCTGCCGAATGTGAGGTTTGAGAGACCAGAGGGAACAGCGAGGAGGCTGCTGAAAGTAATGCCTTAGCTGAGGACAAGTGCAATATTTCAACACCTGCACCACCAAAGGAAGAAGGTGTTTTCCCAGGTTGATGTTATAGTCCATCACCTGAAAAGAGTATCAGCACAGGAGTTAGCTCACCCAAATCAAATCCACTGATGTTGAGAAGCAAAATAACTAATACCTCAACTGTATCAGTTAAGTGAAAAGAAACAGACATTTTTAAGGAAGTCTCACTATCAGTTAGAAGCTTTCTGCCAGCTTGCCAGGTTCTCATTTTAGCTAGACAGGCAAAATGAAACAAAAGATGGTGTGTTCTCAAAGCCTTTCATCCTGCACAGTCTAAATCTTAACATACATGGGCAAGTTCATAAAATATATTACGCTGGGATAGCCTTGTATTATAGCACAAGTTGATCGTGTTTCAACAGACAAAACCGTATTAGGTATATCCCAGGTTTAAGAGATATGATGCAACTGTAGGTTTTCAGAGGGCGGGTTTGTGTGTTTTGGTTATTTTGGGGTTTTGTATTAACACTGCATTCCCAGTTTTCATTATTTTCTCATCAGGCTTGCAACATTAGCTGTAGGGTTTTTTTAAGCTCCGTGTTCTGGAATCAGGTAATGAGACAAGAATGCCACTCTTCACTATAGCAAAGGTAAGGCTGTGTCTGTGATGTTATGCAGAAATTCTAAGCATGCAAATCCTAATGGATCCAAGAATAAAGCTAATGAAAAATATCTTGCTCTGAACAAAATGCTCATCAATTTTAAGTGGTGGTGTTGCTGTAGACAGGTTGCTGTTATTACTGCTAGTCATAAGCCTTGCTTCCGTTGCAACCTTTGAAGAGCATCATGCTGTTTGGTGCCTATCCTAGAGATCTGAATCCTGATGGTTAGGTGCAGTGTGAGCATATATTCTCAGTGCCCTGACACAACCGTGTTTTTGATGGAAACTGCACTGCTATTTTTCGTTATCTTCTCATCAATCTTCCAACATATGGCTTTAAATAAAAATAGCTAATGTCCTGAAATCAGCAGCTAAACTAGATCATAAAAAGGATCCACAAAGCCCTTGTCTCTGACTCCAGCCTATACTGGTTGACACCCAGGAAGGTAGAACAGCAGGCCAAGCAAACTCCAGCACATCCCCCAAGCTCTAACCCATCCCTGCAGTTTCAGTGGACTTACATCTAAAGAGACACAAACATCAGCTTCATCCACATCACCCACTTCCTTGAGCTCTGTATTTCTTTTTTTGGTTTTGTTTTTATTAGAACAAGGGGATGATCCTAATTTACAAACACAGAACCCACCTCTCAAGTTCCCTCCTGAACAAGCTGACTAGACCTTTTTGCCTATAGAATTCTCTAGTTCGATGTGTAGCTGTCTCAAATTTTTGTGCTGCATGCATAGACCTAAATAGATGAATCCCATGTCTGTCCATGTAGGGCTAGTCTGTTGAACAGATGATGTATAATCACCAAATATGGTGCTACCCTGCAATGCCTTGTGCCCTCAGGGTGAGATACAGTTATACAGCACGGTTAGGAAAAACTCATCCATACAAGGAAGACAGACCCCTGCCTTAACACAGCACATACTGTAATGCAGACACGTCTTTAGCTGAGCAGACCCATTTTTTAAGTTGTGACAGAAAGATCTAGAATAAATGATGCTGCAAATGTTGAGCAGAGCTGAGCCTGGGATGCTGAGCAGAGCCCCGCACTGCTGGCTTCCCCACTCTGACAACCTTGTACAACATTGCCACCACGCGGGGCAATACCACACTGACTGCAAACACCAAAACTTGCCCACTTCTGCTGCTAGGGAGAGAAAAAGGCATTTTATGCTTTCAAGAATTCCAAATACTCAGATTTTATGATGCAAAATACTAAGAGACATTCAATTTTAGGTTTTTTTCTTGAACTGACCATTCCAATCAAGCTTGGAATCAAAACCAATGAACCAGCAAGTCAGCCCACTGCCAACCTTTGTGGAGCTGACTGGGGAAAGCAAATATTTATGACTAGGGGAGGGAGTGTAGCTGAAATAGATCTCCTAAGAGCTCCATACTGAGTTTTCACTCTGTAAACACATCTTCAGATTCCAAATAGCATTTCTCTTGCAGCAAAGGAGATTCCCAACACAAAGCAGTCCTACAGCTAAGAAAAAGATCCCCCCCAAAATATAAATTAAAGTTTTGATGTCTGCTACATGGAGAAAAATCCTGGCCTATTGAAGTTCTCAAACTCCATTTGACGTCAGGGGAGCCAGGATTCAACTATGAAGCTTTTCAAACAGAAATGGTGAGAATTCAGCTATCCCGAGACATTTTAAAGGCGGAAGAGGAAACAGGGGCTGATATTTAGCGTTGCAGTAATTCTGAAAATTAGGTCAATTATGATCACTGAAGTTTGGGAATCCAAACCTGGAAAACACGTAAAGAAATGTGGAAGATACTGCCCTGGGATCTAAACTGCTGCTTCCAGACTCTGAATACAACGGTAAGAGGCCTGAATCTCCTTTTGCATGCTTCCTCTTAAAACTGTACAAGTAAAAGATGATTAACACCACATAGCAATGGTGCTCCAAGACAATGGATCAGGATGCATTTGCAGCTACCCAGTTTGCATTAAAACTTTCTGTTTTGCCTGCTGAAACATAGATACCCGACATCTCCATGACTATGAAAGTTTATCTAAGTATCTACATTACAATCGGCTTTGAAAAATCACTGATTCCAATGTACAAACCAGAAAATCCTGGTAAGAATTGCAGATACAGAAGAGGCCACGATAACTTTGGGCAATGTTTGAAGGTTACAGTGGGCACTTTAAGAGCTGGGGGAGATCTGAAATCACAGCCCTCTCTCTCCCCATATGTAATCCTTTATGTGAGACTGCGATAAGGAAAAAGTGTGGAAGTGATGATGATGCTTCATTGCAAATAATAATACTACTCTGCAAGTGTGAAATGTTCTTCAGCCTAGCATCACCAACTGCTCTATCAGTAAGAATTAATTGAGCCTTAGAAGAGCCTTGTAAGGTAGGGAATTACAGTCCTCCTTACAAGATGGAGAAAGAAGGCACAAGGCAAGGATGTGCTCAGCCATTTATCACAGCAATATAGGTAGAAGTTCACCATGGTGGCATCACTCCCTAGGAAAGGGAGAACAGAAAGTCCTGGTGCACTCTAAGGAAGGAGAATTGAGTCTCCTGCAAAGTGAAGACTGTCAGAGAGTTTACAGACCATTCATGCAGGGAAACAAGCAAGAACACGTGCATCCCAGGTCTTCCTGAATGGGAAAGGAGGAAATGACACGTGAGGAAAGTAAGGCATTCAAAGGCTAGGGAAACAGGGCAGGTTTGGAGCAGTCTCTAATTTTTCATGCAGTGGTATTATTTGCGTGCCTGCATACACACAAAACCGTTATCTCTGTGCCAATGATGCAGCAAGTTTAGAGTACTAGTAGGAAGTTATAAATGAACATACTTCTATCTAACTATTTACTTTTTAACTGCAAAGCAAAAACTTACAGAAAGCAGTTTATTAGGCTACGCAGAACCTTCTGAGAGTAAAGAACAAGCAGCCATCCTTGTTCCCAAATTCTTTCACCAACTGAAGAGGTGTTAAGGTTTAAGTAGGATGACCACACTCAGCCATTGTTTTGGTACAAAAAAGGTTGTGCTACCACCATTTCAACAACAGGCAATGAGAAATAGCTGCAAAAAGTAGTAAGTGCCTTCACCTACTTGTGCTATTCCAGCAATAAAGGCATTAAAGCAGGTTGAAACACGCATTTTTTGTGGTGCAATCATGAAACATCCTTCCTGCTGATCATAACCAAGCAGGACATACAGATGGCGTTTGACTGTGTTGAAAGCTTTAGCGCTGCTGATGTCCGACTCAGCGCTGCTCTCATCCTTTGCCATGAACTTCATTAGCACAGTAATGAGCTGGTGGACAGTCTGGTGATCAATCCCAGCATCCTCTGGCAGCAGGTCTTTTATCGTATTATCATTCTCTGGGGAAGGTTGTCCTATGGGCACAAGACAGACAGTGGTATCAGATGCTGGGTAAGACTGTAAACAAGGTACAGAATACATCAGAATTTTTTTCCAGAGTTCATTCCTCCGTTTCTGCCCAAATACACATGGTGAAGTCACAGAAGATAGGCATGCGATTCTGAGGGCATTGTTCCTCTGTTGCCTCAGGCTCAACAGCACATTAACACTTACTGTGTACACTGAACTCCATTTCTCAGCTTTCCCATGTTTAACCAAGCTGCTTATCTTCCTCTCCCAGTGTTCTGACAAATTGAGTGTTATTATTCCTTCACATCTAAGGAGAATCAAATCCCATTGCCACCAAATTCTCACCTGGCATAATTTTCAGATTTTTCTCAGCATAAGTTAGTGCATATTAGTCTTTGCCAGTGGAGGATGTACAAAACAGCAAAGGAAGAAGGTGGAGAAAATTCTACCAAATAATGATTAAACAAAGAATGAAGAGTTCCCGTTTTAGCATTGAGCCCATATTTCCCTCAAATAACTTGGGCCAAAATGTAGGCACTATAATGTATTAGGTTTTGGGACACTGTGTATTACATCAAAACTTTGATGACTTTGTCCCAGAGAAGAAGCCTTAGACTTGGTTTTATAAAAACTGAATGGAAATAATACTTCACGTGGGAATATGATCATGTGAAAGACAAGAGGCTACTCACAAAGCACAAGGAAGCTTGGGTGCTGACTATCACTGTCCAAGCAAAACAGACACACTGCAAATAACGTTGCCAACTAGGGAAGTATTTCATTTTCATACGTTAATATTTTCTTTTAAATACAGTATTTCCAGTTACTTTTAAGACCATTTATTGTTACTAGAATTCTCTAGTAATTGCTTTTGGAGTTACCCTCTTCCATTTCACCCTATTTGTAAGGCCTTTTTTTAGTGCTTAGCAGTTCCTAAAGATCTAAGTTATACTCACACTAGGAATTGAATTCATGAAAAGCAGCAGCTATTTCACGCATCGGTATATCAGATTCTTTTTATTAAATAATTCTGAATAAATGCGTGGCTAAAGGACAGCAAAGTATATTATTCCAACATGTCCCATTTTAAAACAAGAATTTAAATTAAATGCTTCTGTATAAATAAAATGCATTATATATGCATTATATGCAAAATAAATAAAAATTATTTCCACTAGGATAATCAACAAAGGAAACAAAAAATATTATTTTGACCGCATCAAAAGGGGGCAATACTTGAAAATTAAGTTTTTATTACACCATTAATTTTAGTTTGTTCATTAAACACTATAACTGTTGAAAAATAAAATTGTCCCTAAAATGTGTTCTGGTGTATTTTCTGAACCATGGTTAACAATCTGTCTAAACAGCAAATGATTGAGATAAAGCAAGCTGGTTATGAAGCAGAATTATAAAATGACCCACTTGTATGTATTCCAAGGATAAATCCTTTCAACTGTTGGAAATAGTCCTTACTTTTGCAAAAACAGTAAGTTGAAGTTTGCAGGACAGACCCTACAAGCAAGATTAGCTCAAAGTATAATCTTAAAATTGCTCCTGCATGTCTGTGTTAGGGTTAGTAGCCAGCAACTAATATCCACTTAGTCTGTTACAGTTACTTACATGTCTTAGGGTTTACGTAAATTCATAGCTATGTCTTTATAGCAAATACTAAAAATTAATTTAATATTCTAATTTACCCATATTCTCAATGTAATATGCTATTCTGACAAGGGACTCCTTTGCTGGTACAACTGCATCTGTCTTAGGTTCTTCACCAGCAAAACTGCCGTGTCTGTCATTTTTTAAATTATTTTAGATATTTTACATTTTATTGGTGGGTGAGTAAAGGGTTTTGTTTGATTGGCTGTTTTGCTGAGCATGGGAGAATGTTGCTATTTCTGTGATAGCTGAAAATGAAAACTAGGGGGGGAAATATTCAGAATCACTTCTATTAAGAATAACCTTCCTTTACTGGTCTCATTTGGTAAAAAGAAATAATGAATTTTATATTATATAATATTTTTTATTCCAAACAGTTTTCACTGGGATTTTTTTATTTACAGAAACCTTCCTTCAAAATGAAAATTCTCTATCCAAACTTTTGCTGGACCAAGATTTGCGGATGCAAAAAGAAAATAATAAATTCTGAAATAATTAGAATGAGAAATACAGCAAGTTCCATTTTCAGAAGCACATTAAAAATGTATATAGAAAATAACTTTATCTTTGTGGTCATCAACTGAGAAATAATCTTTCCACATATTATACCCAGGTTAAAATTTTCCATTAAATTGTATCAAAAAGACACCATTTTCACAAAGATTATACTAGACTGCTTTCTTCAGCCCTACTTTTTATCTCTATTACATGTTGTGAGATTTTCCACAAACCAAAGCAGCAGATCAGATGGAATGAGTCAAAGGATTGTGGGGCTCTAAGTAAGTCCTGGTTCTCCAAATGGAACTCAACGAGTAATTAATCTGAAAAGATTAATCTATTTTACTTTCACTTACTGGACAACAAAATTTAGAGGCTCAGTGATAAAACGCTCCATTTTGCCATGAGTTTGTAATACTAACACCAGTTAACAGACGCTTCCCAGGACTTTTCTAGACATTTTATTTTCCAGAAAGATACTTTCTGAAGCATTTACATTTCATTTCTCGTACTTTACCCTCACTGAAAACCATACAGCAGGACACAGTGAACAGAGCTTCGCCCTGAATAGTTTGTCATAGCTCTACTAAGGATCAAGTCTAGGGAATGTCAATCACCTCCTGGTTTTACTTCTAATCCAGAAACCGGCAATGAACCAGCAATGGAGAACTGCTTGTTTAAAACTGCAAAAACCCTACAATTCCGTTTAGGCAATAGACTTTCAGAGTCCAGAAAACCTTCCTCTGCTGTCTGAAATGGGTCTTAAGTTATATCAAGCTTGAACTAAACCTTCACTTCATTAACACATGATATAGGATATCCTGTACCAAATCAAGCTGTTTAGATTCAAGCTAAGAATGCAAAACTAAGGCAGCCCCATCTTTACAGTGGCTATGGTGGCTTTTACCCCTCAAAATGCATGCACATACACTTTGTGTGCACATACACGTTGTGTGCATGTGTGTGTGCACCTACATACAAGGTACATACATACACATGCATACAAGGTATACACATACACCCCTCACCCCAAAAACCTTCTCACATCACCAAATACACACCCTGCCAGTTAATATACAGCCACCATTCCTGAATTCAACCTATCCCTATGTCCACAGATTCATCTCTTTATTAATTTGTCCCTTACCTTAGACCCCTTTACCTTCAAATTACTTTAAGGTACATCACAACGTAACATAAAACATCAGACCACAATTATATCATGCTTCTTCCCAGTTGTGATCCCTGTGCCTATCAATGAAACTGTCTAAGTGACTGTCCAGGGAATTGTAGAGGACAGATGAACAAATACATGATCCTGGTGTTTAATCCACACAGAATGCACATTGAATTCACCTTACATTTGAACTGTGCAAGGATTACAGTTTTAGATCGAGAAAGAACAGATGAGCATCAGGACTGGTTCATTCAAGTGGTATGTATAAAATAAGTATTTTTCTACAGCAGATGTACAGCCTGTGTTTAGGAGTCAGTTAGTTCCTTAGAAGAATCAGATATGCTCAGTGCTGCCAACACAAAGTGTTAGAAACTATGAGTCAAACCTTAATAAAAATCTATTTTACAAAAAATGAATTTTAGAAAGAAAGAAATGCTGGGCAGGAGGAGAGGCACAGTCATTTGTCTCCTAGTTTCCAAAGCATCTGTGAAAATTTTGAATCATATTATCAGACTCTTCTTCATACCAGTGGTTACTAGCTACATGTAACTTTTTATATATACATTTTTACTGGAACCTGAATTTGCAGCTTAGGTGATTAATTACGTGAGCCTGGAAGCTGAAGCTTTGAAATACCAAAATACATCTAATAAAATCACAATGGCTAACAATGCCTACTGTGAGACTGGCACCTCTTATGTGGCAAGTTTCTCTAAGCCTAGTGTATAGCAGGTGAATGGTGCCATTAAATGAAGAACAATCATTCACTGACACATCTGTTCATCGCACCATTATTTCACCTGTTCCTTCTATAAGTCTGTGACAACCCGCATGTATGTCCTGCAAGGAACTGGCTGATTTCCAGCTTTCACTGGGCTAGTATGATAGGGCGATATACTGCTAATTCAGAAGCTCTCCTACTCCATTTCACAGCTTAGTCAGCGCCCATGCTGGCAAGCCATTTTCCTTTCAGCTGATCATCCAGTAAGCTGATCTGTTCTAATTCTGAATTTGTGCCTGTTGGAAATATTGCAAGTCTTGAAGAGGGAATATGAAAAGATCTGAATCTGACCTTTTTCACTTCCAAATGGTCAGTCTACACAGGACTCAGGGCAAGAACTGTCAGTAGTTACAATTATTTAGAGGTTACTTGGACCCTGCTGAGCTAGCTATTCTACAAATGCCTGACAAAAGGGTGACATCTTCACAGAATGTCAGTAAATATAAAATAAGGGACTTATGATGTCTATAAGCATACTGAGGAGACAAGTGTGATTTACAGTACTGACAATCAAAAGCATTCTCTCTGCTGTCTCTAAAACCTGAAGGTCAAAGATCAGGCTGAACATAGGTGACCCATGGGGCCAGCCTACTAAAGATTTACTTGTTCCTGTGGGCAATGAAACACAGGAGGGTGAGGCACTGCTGGCATAGCTGACCACCTCTGAATAGCCTCCTCCCAGCCCCGAAATACTATTTACAACTGGGGGCAGTTTTCAGTACAGATCAAGACTTCAATTTACACCTTTTGGAACCATGCTGAGACGTGATTCACTGTGCCTTTTAGACAACTTCCATCTTGCGTGTTTATCTCATGAGTCGGCAAGGAAGTTAGCACTAGTGCCCTCCTTTTCCTATTCCATCAAAACACCCCCCTTGTCAAACCCACCTGGTGTTTGCTCTGGTGTTCCTCCAAGTGCTGGAGCAGACTGCTCATGTCTGGTCAAGCTCACAGCTTAAAAAAACCAAAAAACAAAAAACAAGAGCAACTCTGTTTAAAAAGGCAGTACTGACATCTTATACTTCAGCATATATTCACTGCTAGCGTATTTATATTCATATACTCAAGCACTGTTGTCAGGCAGCGAGTGTAACCATTTGAAACATGTCACTTCTGTGCCCTACATATTTTGTGCACCATGTTCTATAACTCTAGTTCCATCGTTCGTTTTTGCTGGTACAAGAGTCACCACACAGGAGCCCCTATGCAGGATCAGAAATCAGTCAAGAAGGATCACCTAAGAGTCCCAAAATACGGTGGTGGTTGCTTTGGAGAAAATAAGTTAGCTTGTAACTTAACAGTTCACCAGCACCCAGGTTTGAACATTTTATCAGTTCCTATTATATGGGTAGGAGCAGTGTGAGAGGTCCAATTTGAATATAAAGACTAATCAGTGTTTGTAAAATTCTCTACATGAGAATGGGTAAGCTTTATTTCTGCTGGGAAAGATATCTGTACAGCACTCCATACAGGCCTATGGATTTCCAGCACCTAGGTCCTCCTATACAAGCTGGCAGGAAGGATATGTTGCATGGACATTGTTTTCTTAACAAAGGAATTCTGAAGATATCCAAAAGCTCATTTGAGACATTAACAGTTGTTTTTAAGATGTCTAGCATATGCTGCATACACTGATTAATAATTACAATTAATAAATAAATTAGTAACAGAGGAATTTTTCTGTAAACACTTTATCTATTTTAGACAAAACTACTGTGTATTAGCCACAAATAAAAATTAAGATCTATCCACAAAATAGTCTTGGAGCATTTTGTTCTGGCATTTTAAACAAACACAGACATAATGTTTGTCTGTGTTCTTTGTCAAACTCACTAACTTGTCATTATCTGAATAATGCCCAAAGCAGTCAGAAACCTAAATGTGCTATCCCAATTGGATAAATATTGACAATTCCGATGTGTACCCAGCAATAGGATACGATCCTAAGGGATAAGATACAGGCGTGTCACAAAAATATAAATAGATACTCAACGAATTTTGGTGGTTAAGGTTTCTGGAAGGGAGAGCGCTCTCTTTGACTCCACTGGTCCCTTCACACTGTCCCTCAGGGAACGCACACTCTTCTGACGATTACGTGCGAAACGAGCCCTCTTGATCTTCCACATTGCTGCATCACTGAGGTTGGCGACATTTGTCCGGACAGCAGTGATAGCTTTGCAAATGCAATTGACCAAGTTAGGATTCATTCCACAGCATGGTGAGGCCCTAATGCTGCCAAGTGCCAAATGCAACTGGGCCCCAGGTCCCACTCAAGTCAAGAAAGCTTCATATGGGCTCAAGGGGTCCATCTGCAAGGTACTCATTTGCATGCTCTCATTCCGAAATCCATAAAACCCCAAATGGCATAACTGTGTTTAAAAAAATTATGTTGTTACTCCTTTCTTTAGAGATTGGACAAAAACAGGTTCTTGAAACCAAAACCTGAATTTCAGGCTAAGGGAATATGAGGTGCCCTCTATTTAAAACAGCAGGAATCTCATGAGTATGGATCACATTTAGTGCACTCATACCCAAACGTGGCCTCTAGTTTTGCCTCGCCGACCTCCTGTCCTGCCTACACCTATAATCCTGGATTTGAACAGCGCCTTCAAAAATCTGTTGAGTGTGATTACGTGTTTACAGTGGTGTTACCAGCAGTATCACTGCATGTCTTAATGGGGTCACCCATACTTTTCTCTGCTCATGTCTATAGTGTATTCAAACCCTTTGAGTTTAATTATCTGAGTGACTAAAGCCAGTGAGCCCATCCTTTGCCTTTTCGAAGACTAAGTGGTGCAAAGAGAAAGGTTAAAAAGAAACCTGAAAAATATCTTTTGCATATTTTAAATTTTAAATCACTCCCAAATATTCATCTTTAAAGATATGACCCTACATGTGCAGCCAGAGCTGCTAGAAACTACTGCCGAGATTCCCTCCTCAGGCCACAGCAGCAGTTCCCAGCTTTGGGTCAAGCTACTCACATATGGAGAAGAAAATATGTTTGCAGTTCCACCCATCTCCTGTATGAATGCAGCAGCAGCACCTGGGCTTTTTTAGGCACTGGGCTCCAAGCAAGTGTAGGAGGAGGCATTAGGCTGCTGAGGGAGCACACGCTGTCCAAAGAGCTGTCCCCACCTCCTCCAAGCAGATCAGATGGAAATAGATCTGCCTCATGGGCCACCACTTGGGTAAGGAAGTTTTCAATTACACAGCATGTTAAACAATCATGCACAAATTATTTTTAGCCGCCCCCCCCGCCCCGTGAATGGAAGGAGACATGGTGTCTCATCAAGAAACCAAGTATAAACAGGACAAACATTTACAAACATTTGTCACTGCTGCAATAGTTAACCAAGCACTGGCTCTAAGAGTCTGTGTACCTCTTGTGCTGTGCCCCAAGTATTTGTTTGTTTTCCAAGGGTCATACAGCTCCTAGGGCTGTCTTTGTACAGACCACTACAGAACAGGGTCAGGCATGACCTAGGCCTTTGAGAATAGCAATGTTGATAGCATAAGAACATCTACAAAAGAACAAGTGGGTTAATGCAGGTTGCAGCTGATCACAGAACCAGACTGAATTTCAACCAAGGCTGGCAATCACATCCTAGTGAGAGTAAAACATGACGCCCAAAGGTGCAGCAGAATATAGCCTAATCTGTATTCAGGCAGTCAAAAAATGCTCACTTCGAAATATTCTCTTCTGGCCTGAAAGATTACTTAATTTTATAGAATTTATACAGGTGAAGCCTAGATCTCTCTCAGACCCCTGGCAGGCAGCTGAAATTCCAGAAGCTGATAAAAGGTGATCAGATTGATTTGGACTCTGCTTACTTGTTGGGAAAGGGAATTCTTTGTTGCAGTCCAGATGAAGTTGTGCTTCCAGAGACAGGGTCTCAAAGCGATTCACAAAGAACTCCCAGCTCAAAGCTGGAATATCGGCTTTTAGAAAGTGAAGTAGCAAAAGCTTACTAAGAATTGTGGGCCTGTCCTTGACAACTGTGTCAAACTGGAAATCAAGGCAGAGGCAGAGACCCTATAGAGGAAAAGAAAAAAAACCAACACAGAACTGAGATGTGAAAACTTTAAGCATTTTTTTAAAGCAAATGGAGGACAAAGCTCACAACTTCTCCTGTTCATTAGTACAGGATAAAGGCTTAGCTCCTTTTTCCTACCAAGTCCTTTAAATCAGAACTAATGCAACTGATATCAATGGAAAAGTAAGGTAAGTAAGGCGATAAATGAACATCATAGTTAGAATGTAGAATTTGCTAAGATTGTGAGGAATATAAAGGTATAGGCAAAGTTCTGTCCTATTGCACATTTGGTACACAGTATCAAAGTATTCTCTTCACGTACCCCTGTCTGAGAAAATTAGGCAACTGAATCAAGCCCTTAATTACAGAAAGAATTAATCACCAAGCCCAAACAGAGGAAGAAAGTGTGAAGTGTATCAGAAGCGCTTTGCCTCAAAATGTTTCTGTATTTTATTTGCACTAGAATTTTGGGTGTAGTGTCAAGACTTATGTCTGAGAAGAAAACCCACACATTAAACATGGAAGTGCAGTATACTGCTAACAGTCTCAGTGAACTCAGTGAATTCAAGTTCTCTGGAAACTAGTTTGAAAAGGCACTATATGGAATAAAACTAGCAAGTATTAACAAGCTTTTTATATGCACTAACAATGAACTTTTTAAAATATATATTCATTCTATTCTCCAGAGAACTAGAACTGAATTGTGTACTATGAGATTTTTTTTTGTATTGTTTGTATACGTAGGCTCTGATCCACTTTCATATCTGCTTAGTTTTAATCCTGACATGCCTAAGTAAATCTTGAAAAGATGAAGACCATGTTTGGTTTTGCTTGAGTATATTTTCTCACTGTCAGCTCAGCAGGGTGTCAGGAGACTTACAAATTTTTTTTTTAAATTGAAAAATGTTACTAAATTTTAAAATAATAAAAAACATTTACAGCTTTCTACAGTAGCAGATCAAATGCAATAGTAATCCTTTGCAGTCAAAGTTTTTACATTTAGACTCGATGATCTTAAAGGTCTTTTCCAACCTAAATGATTCTATGATGCTAAGTTGGGGCCAGGGCACTATCATTTTCCTTGGCTATTTTGTGCATATGTCAATTACCAAGACCCGTAAGGCTTGCCTAAAGAGGTATTAGCAGTGACCGTGATGCTGTACGCCTGAACTGCTTTGAACTTCGGGTGAAAACCCAGATTCCTGTTTGAATGTATTTTTTCCCATATAATGAGCCTACCTGTAAAGCTGGCCTCTTTATGGTGTCAAGTAATAGTCCAGCTCTTGTAGCTACTGCTGGGTTGACGTCTTCCACAGCAGTCAGGAAACAGCAGAATGCATGTGCCAAAGAGTACTTCAGTAGGTGGTTTTTTGTCACAGAGTGAATATCCAAAAATCTGCACAACACAGCCACCTTCTCCACTGTAGCAGCCATGCCCCCAGACAAAGAAAATATGCAGATTAATTTAGGCAATGGCTTCTTTATGTCCTGATTAATATACCTCTCCCAGAAACATGCACATCTGAGAAAGTAACAAAAAAAATATCTGGCAAGTGTTATAATTTTGATTTTACTTTGATTGTCTAAAATGTCTCATGTTCTCCTCTATTTTACTGCATTGTTGTGCCACAGTTTTGCATCAGACTATCTCCAGAAGTCCCCAAAGCAGCAAAAAGATAATCATCTATTATAGGTCTCCTCAGCAGAGAAAGCTCTCTCTCTTCAGTGAAGCAACAAAGAGCAAATAGCATACATTTCTCAGGCCTACCTGCTTCAAATCTCATCTTCCAATCTTTGCTGTTGAAATTGCTGTTTATGATTGTCCAGAAAATGTCAGCTCCATGGGGAAGCGAAAGTGCATGAAGAAGAAGTGGGACTGCCAGGGAAGAAAGCTGAGAGAACTCGGACTTCACAACTCCCCATAAGCTGGAAAGACCAAAAAGAGCAAGCCTGCTTATAAAAACACTCCCTTGACATCCTTTCTTCTAAATGTCTACACTGTATTGTTGGTTGGAATGCACTTCATTAAAATCTCTATGAGTCATCCTGGGCATTTATGTGAATACTACAGAGTTGCTGGTAGAAGAACACAGCTACCTGCAAATCTTCAACTACAGCAGTTTTTCTTGCAAATCCAGGTTCAAATATTCCTTATGTTAAAACACTTCAGATTTGACCAGAGTTTGCCTAATTTGAGGCACAACTGGCATGGAACATAATCTATGCTATGAACTAGCAGTTTCAGCACGACCAGCTTCAGCGCATAAGCTACATGAACTGTCTTGGCACCACAAAACCTGTGCATATACGAATGACTAAGATGTCGAGTGTTCACAATTTGCTGGTATTTAGATTCAGGACAGTTTCTCCAGCCTGCTAAAACTCTACAGTCTCAGGAGATGCTCAGTGAAATTCATACAGAGCAGCTGTAAGCACTGACACACTCTATTTCAGAACATTGTATGCTGATATTTATTCAGTGAGTTTTCTGCAAAAGTCCCTTTCTCCAAAGAGAATATTAAAATGCACAGATTTCAATCCAATTCACTCTGATTCTAAATGAAAAAAACTTCCTTTACCTCTCAAAAATAAGGTGCAATACGGTTGTTCTCTCAGCTTTAACACTAAAGCCCTATAAACTGTTTGCCTGCCTCTACATCATCCTTTATTTTATTTTGTAGAGTCAGGCAAGATGCCTCACTCTCAGACAGTGCTATTATTCAATATGAGAAACTCTGACTCACTGTAAAATAAGTGGTGCATGACAGAGTAGCCATGATGGACAATGCAGGGTACCTTGGTTGCATTTGCAACTTCTTAATTAGCCTGTGCATTGTGCCTTTATACAGTTAACTGAACCTTTCCACACTTCCTTACCACCCTTTTTTAATTTTCCATACTAAACCTGCAAATTCTTTGATGCCAACAACAAATGTATAGTTGGAGAACCAACAAAGTATGAAAATGAAATGTGCAATAAAAACCTACCTTGCAATCAGCATGTGATCTTGAATATAGGCAAGAAACTGTGGATGGTCCTTTCTTGCTATATATAGGCATTCCCCGTGAAGACACAGGATCTTCAGACAGTTCAGCATGTTAAAAAGAATGTCTGGTTCTTCAAACCTTGACATTTCCTGTGTAAGCAGATGTACTACTCTCAACACAATGACACCACTTAACCAAAAATTCAGACTAAACAAACAAATAATCAATGTTACCTGCAATATAGTGTATATGAGCTTCAAGGTAACTGGAAGTTGCTGGTAACAAAATTTTCTTTCTGGGTCATTCTTTATCGCTGTTAAAAATGTAAGTTACATAAAATGCTGTTAAAGTTCTCTCATCTGTCGATTCAAAATGAAACTAAAGAATGTCAAAGTGATGAGAAATAAATTAATTCTAGCCACAGCAACCCTGCAGTCAGTAAAGTTACAACAGCACAGAGTTTGGCATGTAATGTTTTTGCTACTTTATGTGTTCAAAAAGCCAAGATTTCTTCTAAGACTTTTTTGAGAGACAGTCACACTTGCTAGCAACATAAATACAGTGTTCCTATTTAATTAATATGTAGAAAAAATTAAATGCATGAGAAAAAAGTGACTGTGCACTGTTGGACCTGAAAGGCTGCTTCAGAACCTTGTATTCTACAAGTAGAAGCGTTTCATTTAAAGCCCTACTGCAATACTCAACCTTCTCACCCTCCACCTACCAGCATTTTCTGTGGTCTCTGTGTGATTTCCTGGGTTTTCTCCATGTTTTGGTGCCAATTTGTCTTCCTCTTCTCCTTCAGTTCCTATAATAAACTCAGGTCTAGTATACAGAAGACTATCCTCGAGGTTATCTGTGGGCTCCTTTAAGAATATAATAAGTTAATTCATTTCTTGATGTTATCTAAACACATGAGGCCATATCCTGCTGTTACATTTGGTGTGATAAGCTGAGCTCAAATGAGGCAGACACTGTCTAGTTCTACATACACTTGTGCATTCAAATCACCTGCGTGTCTAAAATTCTACATCAGCAAGATGCAACAAGAAGACTGTATTTCAAACATGTGTGATACCACTTAACAGAAACTGTACATCTATTTTAGAGCTGAGGTGGATCCAATCACAGGGCCGTGGTTTCACCAAACTTGTCATCCTTGCCTCAGAGGAGTAACAGACAAGAGCAGGGTGCATTTCCTACACTCCTGGAGTTACAGGCTTAGAGGCAGAAGCTACCTCAATCACTTTTACATTGAAAAAAGGGCCAGGCTGGAGTTACTTCTGCCTGTGGCCAGTAGCTCAGGATTACAGGTTGCCATTGTGACCTTTATCTTATAAATCGCAAAGTAGATCCTAGAAAATGGTACTGAGCCCCAGCACTCAAAAGACTTTACCACTTTCTAGTTTTCGGCTGAGGTGAGAATCTGAACTGAAAGGGCATGAGATGATTCTTCTAGCAGAAGTTACTGAATACCACATGCACAATACCTACTATTAGCATACACATCCAAATGGAATTCCGAAACTTTTACGCAGCAAAAGGCACCACTATGCCCACCACCAAAAAAAAATTACTAACAAACACCCTGCCACTACCATGCCACAGCAAATGAGCACTCAGAATAAGGGCAACGATGCTGTCTTCCGAACTATCAGATGGAGCAGTTACATATAACAGACATACAGTTTAAAATAAATTCATCACACCACAGGTAATGCTTCAATTCTTCTGCAAAGCTACAGGGGACTTTAATGATGACTAGCAATTGGAGAGTACATATCTGTGTCTGATAAAGTTGGATACTCAACCTGAAATATATTCTGGTTTTCAACAGTGCTCAGCATTTTCAAAAATCAAGCACCAACTAAGGCTTGCTCACTTGACAACTGATTCACTCAAAATCATTACCCATTTCAAAATACCCACTCTTAGCTTTTAAAAGAAGAAGAAAAGCACTAAGTATTAACATATCACATTTTATTTAAGACACAGTATCATAGGAGTGTCCTTCCAAAGTGAAACAGCACTTCAGTGTTGATGGGGAAGAGTTCATACTGGATGAATATTGTCATCTTCCCTGGGTTCTTTGAATCAATTCAAATTTTACAATTCAACAGCATTTTGCTTTAAGTTCCCAAAGCCTCCATGCCAAAGGCCAGCACAGCTTTGCTCCCTTGTGCACAGTGTAATGAGAACAATGAAGAAGAAGAGTTTCAGCACACCAATAATACCGGCCCTTTCCTGCTCTACTTACCACAAGCCTGATTTCTTCTTTTGGAGCAAGCTGTTCCAGCAGCTCAAAACCCAGCTGGTAACACAGAATGCTGGACTGACACAGACCACATTCAACTGCTTTTTCATCTTTCTGACAGGTGTGAGAACCACCCCAGGGTGCCTGGAACACATTGTTTATGATGGATATTATATCTTTTGAAATGCTGTTCTCTAAGCCCAAAGTGACACCATCATCCTGGAGTTCCATCTGAAAGAGAGTGAAAAGAGTAAGAATTTATTATTTATTTAAAAGCCAGAGCTCTAACTATTCTGCCTATCCCTACATTTCTGCTAGTGTTACACTGCAGTGCTGGGAAGAGTTCGAGATAAACTGGAATTCATAATTTTAAATTGCCACTGGTGTTAAGGCCCATGCTCAAACAGCTAGAGTAAACAGACAATTTCAAGCACAGGGTCCATGAATTTTACCTGGAGACAGTTATCCAAAGCGCTTGGCCTAGGATTCACAATGTACAAATTTAGCTATCCAAAAATTATACATCTAATCTAAGCCTATCAACAAGCCTCTGCTTTTAGTCTGTAGAAGTAAACATATCTGCAAGGAGAAGTTCCTTTCACTCATATGAGCTATCTAACAGGAATGTGGAGGTATCTAACTTGTCTTCATTGAACATGAACCTGTAACTCCTGTATGGGTAAAGGCAGATGACAGCTATAGGAGGATTTAAATGCCTTTTACTTCATGCCAGTCCCTTAGCAGAAAGGGACTCAATACAGGATTAAAGGAGAGCCAAAAGTGACTACAGAACTTCAGCATCCCCTCAATGTGGGTGTTCTTCTTCTGCGAGTACCTGCTTCAGGATGAGATCAAACATCAGAATGAAGCAATTAAGATTCATTTCATCATCTTCACAGTCAAAATCAATTGCCTTTCCACTGGGGTGTCCAAAGTTCTTGAAAGGGCTGTGAAAAGGACTACGTATTGGACTCCGAAAAGGGCTCTGGAAGGGGCTTGGGAAAGGACTCAACATGTTGTGCTGAACTCTGCGCCCAGGGTCAGAAGCGACGCTTACCTGAAGACAAAGAATCAACATGTCCAAATGACTGTTACGCATTTAAGCAATCTCACTCTATATGAAATTGCAGAAAATGGCAAGAACTTTGACAGCCTTACTATATTCCCTTTGGTAGCTTTTTGGCAAAATCTACACATGCCCCTTTAATGCCATTAAATGATAAAATATGATAGAAGTACAGGAATCACAGTCTGCACAGATGTGTACATTTTCTTAAGCTAAGTGACTGACATCCATTATCTTATTCCTACTAAGGAGGAATTTTAACGTCATAAACCAAACAGAAAATTGGTGCAGGCAGTAAAGTGGCTATCGGGTGACAATGATCTGCTCCATGATCCAGGGACACGAACTTCAATAGTAGGAGGCTAATAAAGGAGGCTATCTCAAGAGAACGGTGTACCTAAGGCTATACCAAGGATACAGGTAGCTGGAAATGAATTAGACACAAGACTAACAAGATGTGCATGTCTGCATTGATTTATGTCCACACCACAGTTGGCCACCTAAAACACCCTGAGAACCTCAAAGTGTTGCAGGGAGATACACAGTTAGATGACACAAGGTTTATTTTTAAGCCAGCTACGGTCTGAAAGACCAGAAAATAAGTTTGTCTATTTTTTCTGCTTAGTTTAGAAGTGGTCATGGGCTAGGTGTTGGAATGCTTTCTGCAGAGCTACATCAGAAGGCAGGCAGACCACATGTAAGGAATCATCAACTGCCTAGATGCTGTACTTCCTTTAATCTAAAGATCTGACCTTTCAAGCACTGTTGTGTTTGCTGTCCTTTAAGCACTCCATCCAAGACTAGTGGGAAGTTAGTCACATCAGTCCAAGTATGTGTAGTGCCTACTGATTTGTACATGTTTTCTTCCAGAGCGTAAGCCTTTGACAGACAACTTTAGATCAATTTTTGCATCTCTTCGATGGGGAAAAAAAATGCAGGGAAACAGAAATAAATTCTGCTCTGTCACCCTACCAAGACATACCTAGGCCCACCAAATTTATATTTGTGAATACAAAAACTCACTCTGGGTGACCAGGTGTCCGTAACAACTATTTGTTGATGGTTATTAATAGAAGGTGCAGAGAATGAAAATGGTTGGAAAAGATACCAAGAACACTCTAAACGTAGCTCAAACAAACCAGTTCACTATGGAAAAACTGCAGTTTTTCTGCAGTTCCTATCTGCATTATCTTTACACTGACCATGTAATAGAGCGGTATTAATCGAAGAAGTCATGCCAATTTTCTTCCATTTTCAAAATTTATAGTGTTTCAAATCAAATGTTGCCATAATGAAAGATGACTTTTTACTTTTTCACATGCATTCTATTAGGAAAACTGTTCTAACCAAAAAAATAAACAGGATAAATAACAGTTACCCTCCGAGCTGCAAGATTTCCTGCCAGTTCACTGACTCTCGATTTTCTTTGATTTGCTAGCTCTTTTACAGAATTAACTCCATCAGAAAACATGCTGATTAGTAACTGAAGAGGAACAACAATGTCTAGTTCAGATAACACCTGAGGAAAGACAATAAATAAAAAAGCATGAGTTTCAAGTTTGATCAAAAATGCCAGCCACTTCATAAGCACCTTTATCATATGACCCTCTGTTCAGCAAGTTCCATGCATTTAATTTTGGGATTCAATGAGATGAGATGCAGGCTTAGATTTCTGTTAGAAGCAGGGCAAAAGAGAACTGGCAAAAAAAAAAGGGTATTTTCAAAATATTTGTTGGCATCTGCTTGGTGCACCTTGAGATCAGTTTTATGCACAAACACATAGGGGTGTGAGGTTGTTCCACAAAAGTACTTCTGTAAACCAAAAGTATTACCAATACTTGGATGAATAACTATTTACTATACTTATTATTACATAAAACTGAATTCCTGTATTTATTCTAAGAATCCAGTCAGAACGGTTGCCTACAGGTGTCAACATAGTGACAGGATGGTTATCTGCAAATCACTGAGGGAATATTCATCATCTATTTTGTCCCCAACACTCAGACAAATATGAGCTCATTCATACTTGTCATTAACTGTTATTAGGTCAAGAAAAATCTAAAAAATCATACTTTACTTGAAAACTCTGCATACATGAAAATTGCTACAGTCATCAGGTAAACTGGTCTTTGCCGAGGCTTAACCAAAATAACCCTCAGCAGCAAAGAAGCAACAATGAAGAACAGAAGTATTATTCTGAGGTGCTGTGGAAAATTTTATACACTTTTGAATTCGCTGCCTTCAGCTGACATGATTGTCCCTGTAGCTTTTGAATACGAACACTGGGTGAATGCCAGCTTTGTGGGCAAATATAGCACAAAAGGGCCAGTGCAGCAGAAAGCTTGATGGGTACAGAGCTAGTCTAATCCAGATCTTCACATGCAGGAACAAATACAGCTGCTTCTGGAGTCTGGAATTAATTTTGCAATCTACAGACCAAATTCTGCAGAGACTAAAAATTACTGCTGGCAAAAAGTCAGACAGCTGAATGGCCCTAAAGACACAACTGACATTCAAAGGTAAAAGGAATTTCCAGGCTTCCATTATATTGCCCATGATGGGCTAGTAACGTAAAGCATCCCGGGATCTGTCTACCAACCATCCTTACACTGGGGCCAAGCAAAAGGCAGAGAAGTTCCATGGTTCTTGGAAAAGTGGTTTCTTTCTGCCTTCCCCCCCCCCCCCCCCCCTTTTTTTTTTTTTCGTTATCCAAAATCATAAGCTGCTTCAGCATGACTTGTCAAGAGATGACACTTACATGCAGCCAAAGCAATGCTTGCTCTTGCACGGAAGATGGATACCCTGTGAATCGACAGCTAATGAAGCCAAACATCTCCTCCATGGAGAAAGGGAGAGGGCAAAGTTCAATGTCAAACATTTTGCTGAAAAGTAGAAAAAAAAATACGGCATCACTGAGTTACCATGGCACACACTGTGTGAAAGATAACAGAAAACTGGTAGAAAGGCAATCTCACTACCAGCATGGGTAATGCTTCTGTAATCTTACTTGTGTCCCCACCCTCCACGGGAGTTGAGCTAGGCTGCTGATACCACCTGTCCTGACTGCACAAGGTCATCTCTGAATTTGGTGATGCACCTTAAGAATTTACATCACATCTCATATCAGGCCCAGTTTCATTTGATACCAATAACTTTTTCAACATCCAATGCAAAAATTGGAAAATTTCTCATCTCACCGCTCCTCCACTATTCCATGTTTACACTAAAAAAGTTTATATCAATACCTACAAATATAAACTTACAGCCAGTTTCAGAGCCTCTTCATCAGTTAAAAGGCAATTTGAAGTTTTATTGTCAAAGGCATACACCAGACATGAAATTATGACTCAGACAGCCACCACTCTTATTCTGGTTTTCTTTGCTCAACAGGGGAAGATATTAGCTAAATCAATATAAATAATCACTCTTTCAATGCCAGCTCTACTATTCCCCACTATTTCTCATCAACAGCTGGCCAGGAGCAGAAAGATGCTTCTTCCACCATGCTACAGGAAGCCACTGAAAATGTGCCTTGCTCACAGCAAAGCAGCATCCATGTAGTTGGCTCTTGATACAGATTCTAGGATATCAGGAGCAATAAAAGGAATGTTCCCCAAAGCTTAAGTGCTTTAGTCTAAATAGAAGTCATAAAAAATTCAGAAGCATTCACTCACTACTGTCTATTACACACTGGCATTTTTATTTGTTGTCACCATCTTATCGTACTAAAACCCTCAATAATCAACATATGCAACGACAGAATGGTTCCTACCTATGTCTACATACCTCAACACTTCCCGGAACTCTTTCAGTTGATTATCAGGCACTTCCGTCCTTACGGCTTCCAACCACTCTGGCATGATACATTCCCACACCGGCTGGTTTATCACATTGTATGGAATCAAGCAAAGGATTCGATTCAGCCCTTCTTTTAATTGGGTCACAGCACTACACGATTTGTCCCAGTATCCACCAACCTGTGGGTATTTCCAGCAATCATACTGATGAATGATATTTCTAGTCCCTGTACCTTGCCCAGCACCATAAATTTGCTCAGTGTGTTGCAGCCAAGAAATCGTGGGGGGTGGTCATCAGCAATGTGGAATTCAGCCATGGGGATTGCATTGGGTTTTTTCCTCTCTCATTTGACCCACTGTACATAAAAGCACTGTTCAAGATTTAGATGAAATTTGCTCACTTCCAGTCCATGATGGAGAGTAAACTCTCATCGTTTACAGTTCTCAACAAGGGACAGATCTGTTTGGTCAAACTTGCACCTCCAATTATTTGCTCTGGGCAACTTGTTACAGTGCTGCATCTTTATTTTGAAAAACTTGGTCTGTATCAGGTGTTCTTTTGTTGTTGTTTGTTTTGTGTTTTTTTGAGGGAAGGTTCTAAGTAAGGGAAGCAAAAAAATATACTTAGAAGTAAATAAGTAACTGGCCTACAGTGATTAATTATTCTAACTGACCTCAGCTCACATCTGCTGTTCCTAACTAATGGCTCTAGAGATGCCTGCTGTTTTGGCAGCAACTACTGATAATCTCAGCCAACAAACTATTTTTTCTCCATTCATCACAGCTAATTTCATGCCTGTTTGTCTTCATGTTCTAGTGAACCCTTGCAAATCTGGCAAGTTGTCAGTCTAGTCTTACGTATTGCAGTGGGGGTAATAAAAATCAAAAAAAGGGGCTGGATCCAAGACAAGAAAAAGATCCATAACAGATTACAGCATGAGGTTCAGTCCTTCCTTTCCCCTTTAGCCTCAAAGCCCTGATCTCTTTTCTTCAGTTCTAACATTCAATTCATCCATCCACCTCTCAAATTTCATCAGCTGCCCTCCAATCCTCCCACAGCCAGCGGTACCTTCAGGGCGATGGTTCAGAGTAAGACACATATACTTGCTGGTCTGCACACGTACAGCGAATCGCACGTACTACATCATGAAAAATCCATGGATGCACACTTCATCCCTGACGATGTAATATACCACATCAAGTCTTTATGGCACTTCCTAGTCTAGCCACTTCATTTTAGGAAACAAAACCAACATGTCCCCTGGACATTTTACATTAGAGGGTCACAAAATGAAAGTCTTCTTACAAAAGCACATGCAAGCAGTGATAAACGAGGAAAAAGTCTTAAACCCCTCACAAACATAAAGTTCCTATTTTCATGCTAATGTTTCATTTTCCAAAGAGGAATACTCACATGCCTGACTTTGTTGCCTGTCTTCACTACCTAGGTTAAGTGGCGAGTTCTGCTTCATAATTCATAGAGAGAAAGAAAGACTCTTTCTAGAAGCAATTCCAGCAATGGTCTCACTTAGGCACCCTGAATGACCTTCCAGATAAGTCTCTTTCTCTCCATCCACAATAAAGCAAACCATGGCAGACTAGTCTCTTAACTGAGTCACTTAAATTAGATATCTGAAGCTACAGGGCACCAGAATGCCCAGAGTTCGTTTCTGTTACAACTGTGTGATTTCATGGACTTTAATTCACAGCTGCAAAGATGAAGTTTGCAAAGAACAGAGAAACATTAGTAAAGCAAACTAGTAAAGGACAGGCTTATATCTGGGAGCGGATAAATAGTACCTTTTACTAAAGACAAGCTTGGGTGCTCCAGCAGCATAATGGAAATGTGCAGCTATCAAAAATGTACTGTATCTTTCCTATAATATTCTTCCAACCTGTCTTCATATTACTGTAAATAATTCCCACTCTCTAACACAGTAAAACTAAAAATGCTATGAAGAGGAAAAACTCCTGAACTCCACTGCTCCCTCAACCACTGAGAGTGGTTTTGGTCTTTTGCCTTGACAGAGCTGGGGGAGAAGTGGTCTTTATACTTAAGACTTTAATCTCTGTGGCAAATAAAGGAACCTTCAGATAAATTATTCTTACCCTGGCAAACTCCATTGGTTTAGGAAGGAGGCACATAACCATTACATCAAACCGGACATCACAAACCGTCTTCAACCACTTAGTCACAAACTGGGGTTTGAGCTTTTCAACCAGGCTACCAACTTCATCATCCATCATGTAAGCTGTAGAGTGAAACCACTGGAATACCATGCTAACCAGCCTTGCTAAACTCTCTGTGGGTGTATTTTCACTGGGAGTGCAAAGGCTCACCTGGAAGACAGAAACACAAATCAAGTTTCATTTCTAGAATTAAAGGTGGCAAATTGTTTGTCTACTATATTTTGCATAGTCTCAGAGATACGAGGATGCAGATTACATAGAAGACAAATGAGCTGATCAGTTTTAAGTAGAGTTTGGTACAGGACAATTGACAAAACATTTCCAAACCAGAAAATAATATTAAGAGGGAAAAAACCAAGCACTGAATTTTTTGTGTCTTAGTTCCAACACTGACAATATCAATACGGAATGCTTCGACAAACTGAAACCTTTTGGTTTGAACTTTAAAATGACTTTTCATTTCAAAAGGTAATGTAATACGTAGTAAAATATATGAGGTTAAAATAATGGCACTCAGCAGGGGGCGCTTGTTTGCAGAAGATGACAGCACATAGAAAGTCAATAAAAAACCTGAGAGTGTGAATAATTCTGTTATACAATCTATACAGGACTCAGAAGGCAGTGACCAGCTCCACCCAAACTAGTTCTGAAATCTCCAAGCCTGACAGCTTCACAGAACTCCTTCTTTTTGCTTATAAGTCAGAAAAGTATCCAACTAAAGCCAAGAAGTGGAAAAAAAGAGATAAAGTTGAGGCTTCAGAAAAAAAAGGAGAAGGAAGCAAGAAGAGAGAAGAGAGCAAGAATTTCTTACCAAGAACCAGATTCCAAACTGGCTCAGGAGGCGTTGGTCATGCTTGTCATCATCTTTATTATCAAAGTCTGTGTTGTCCAGGGAGTGATGGGAAGAGGAGAGGCCCATCTGTCTCCTGCGGTTGAGTTCATACTCCCTCTGCTCAGCATGAAACTCTGCTTCCTTCAGCAAGCTATAAAACAAGCTTGTGGTCAGTCAATGCAGCTTTTCTGCACTGGATACAGGTATCTGATCAAGAATAACTAGAGGTTAAGGCATCTGATTCCTCATTTTCCTAAGAACAGTAATAAAATAACATCAAATTCTAGGATTCAAGGCTGACTTCCTTCATGAGGACAACACCCACAGCTGATCGGTACTCTGCTAACGCAGCAGGAGTTCAGCACCCCGCTCTGAATTTATCCTGGTGAAACTAAAATCAACTTGCACAAGATTTGCAGGCAATATTTACATGAAAGCCTGATGCTGCTTTACAAATTGATGCCTCATAAGCTGCCATACTACCTGATCACAGCTTCCACAGTACACACAAGCTCCTCTGCCCCGCACTCCCGGGTATTAATAGGGGGTGGTGATGTCTGATAAAGATGGGTTTCTGCGGCTGCCCCAACTTCACTGCTGTGATGATTCGAATGGCATCTTTTGCAATAGCGCACTGGCCTGTTGCCGTGGCGGCCACAGCAGCCCGCTGAGAAGCACGTGACAACAGCTCTTCTGACATGTGAACTACAGTTCTGGAAAATAAAAAAGATTTTATCAGGCCACAAGTTATCAGGAAGTGGAACTGAAAACAGGGATGAGAGCCAGCACCGGGGAACTGGCTCAAGTGTTGGCCATTTCCAAAATCACTATTTTGTGCACACAATGTGCACATTTCCAAAATCACTATAGTGTGCTAACTCTTGATGTGAAGTGTCACTGAACTTCCAGAAAGATGAGCTCAGGCCTAAATGCTGGGCCTGGACTTAAATGTCATGGTTGCTCTTCTTTTGGAGCAAACCAAACCAACATTTAAGTCATCAACCTCAGCTTTCTGGCTTGGAGCAACCTCTAAAATTTACAGTAGTTCTCTTAATCCCTGCTTGTACTTCAGAATGTCTTTTTAAGTTACATGTAGCAACAGGCAGATCTTTAGGAGTGTGATCAATTGTGCCACATCAGTTCATGCTATGTAAGGATCTGCCTTATCACAGGTAACTGTCCAAGCCTCCGAAATATGCGCTACCTTTATTTTTGCCACCTGCTGATCCAGCCCAACATAAAAGCTTTCTTTACCACATGAGATCTAGGATATGTTATACACTGTATTCCTCATTATTAAAATGTTATTAAAACACACTAGCTGGTATGTATTGCAAGCAGGTTCTTTTTGTCAGCAACCTTTCTAGAGCCAAGCACTGAAGACTTTCAGTCCATATATTTTTAAAAATATACAGTTTACAGTAGGATTTTTTTCCAATTTAGTGTTAATCCAAGACTTCAAGAAGATGAGAAGATAAAAACACTTAGATTTAAAATTAATCTCTTGCTCTATCCTCTTCATAAGCAGAGTTATAGAATAAAAACTAAGCTCAACTGCATAATTGATTGCTTTACTAATTGCCATTTCAACAAAAACCTACAACTCAAATTAAACATCAGCAGTTTCAACAAAAAGAAACCTTGCTGCTGAATCATTTCCATCCAACAAACGCATTCATGGATAAATTGTGAAAATTTGGAACGGTACAAAAAAGCACGCACCACATAGTAATGGAATGACACTACACACAACATCAAATCATGCCCCATCACACAGATGACTGAGTCTTACCTTCTTCTGACATATAGCAGAAATTTCAGCTGTAAGGGGAAGGCATACAAAACATCAACACAGAATGACAATCCTTCTGTTTTATTTTGGCAGCCATGGGAAAATGGACTTGCTGCAAGGAAGTCTCTGAGGCTAAACTTGTCTTTCCAGATGTTCTTGAAACCTCTAAGCCTGTTGGACTGCATGAGGTAGGACACTGTGTACTTAGGCCTACTGGCTATTTCTACGCTTCTGCCTCACAGATGGACTTATAGAAGTACACCTGTAGGTACACTACTGTGGCATGCTGTAGGAGACATGCTCAGATGCGCCTACACTGCCTGTGAAAGCTTTCAGGATGGAAGATTAGTGAATATGGATGAACAATGTAGAAACAGCCACTATGTCTGTGGCCCATAACTCCACAGCAAAATGCTTGCAGATTCAACCTGTAAGCAGTAGCTATTGAGCCTGTTGCCAGGGCAACATCTGATTCAGTAAATATACGCGGCTGAGTAAAAAGAAGTATTTCCCTTAAGTAAATAAAACATTCTTAATCTGGATTAGATTTCAACTAAAATGAGACAGCAAAAAAGTCTCCACTGCCTAAGAATTTTCAGTTTGCAGAAGAGAGAGGGAGTGCCTTTGATCTGCCCTTGAAAGGGTTATTTTAGAGAATATGTGACTGTCCTTGTAAACCCAGGAAATTCCCATTAGTCTGTCAACAAGCTTTGTCTGCATTCTGGTAGATAATAGAATAAGAGGCTCTCTCACTGCCCAAAGGACAATGATTAGATCAATGACTGGATCATTGAAAAATATTTTATGTCCTTTTCTGATATCCTTTACAGCCTTCTGTTCATAGAACAGATTTTCAGAAGCCTTAAGAGCTTTTGAATCAGATCCAGGTTACCGGAAGAGCTAGCCCCTTTTTTTGGACAACAGTGTGGGAAACAAATACTTTTAAAAAACTTGGCCCCAACTCCGAATGCTTCAAGATTTGAAAATCTGTTCAGTTGTCTCTGTTTCCTGACTCATAAAGAGTTGCATAATATTTCAGATAGAGGATTAGTCACTTTTTCATAGTACTTTAAGGACATTAAGCAGTATTAAGTAAAAGCTACCTTAAAATTCTAAAAAATTCCTTTAGATTAGAATGCAGCATTTCAAGTAATACAGTATGCAGCAATATCACTAAGCATAGGGTTATTATGATTAGATTGTACCTACCCTTAAAATACCTCTTACCTTGTGGTAGAAGAACATCAATCAACCATTCACTGTGATCCCTATAAAAATTGTATATCTAATTAGCTTTCCATTTTTTATTTACATACGCATTTATTTTTGCACAGAGGAAATTTATCTAAATTAATGTGGTAGGACTGACATTATTCTGAAGCTGCTTTTTTACAAATGTAGTTTTATAAATTGCAGGCTACTTTACATTACCTCTCGTTGTTGTGCCTGTCTTATTGCAAATTACCACTTTGCTGATGTTGGTCCACCATGTTCAAGGCTTTCAAAAAATTACGTTTAAGGCATAAATTTATCAAATTAAAATAGGGTGTGCTCTGAAAGTCTGACAGCTAAGAAATGACAGTGAAGAATAACAGATGAACATAGAAAAAACAAATGTACCAGTACCATTTTCTGTGAATCTCCTTAGAAGCTACGCTTCTACCAAATTCAATTACTTTTTCCTGCAGCTTTAAATCAATGACAACTTAAAATCTAAGGTGAGATGAAATTGCTTTTCCTACAGCTGGTATGATATAAAGGTGTCTTAAACTGGGGACAAAAAAACCCATGTAGCTTCTGAACCACCTGTAACCTTGTTCATTTGAACTAATGATTGGAACTCCCTATAAGTATTAGTAGATCTTGTAAAGTAATGCAAACCAAATTATCAATTTAAAAAAAATAAAAATAAAATTTAAAAAGTGAGGTTAATTCATCTCAGGCTATATTCCTTCCAGGTTCTGGACAAGCCTGGACTAATTTCAATTCTTTACTCTGCTGCTTCACAGGATACCCTAGAGAATAATCTGAAATACATGTTACAGAAATACACGTTACTTCATTACTATGAAGTCTCTGTGAAAGAGCTTTCATTGTAATGTCCTGCTTTTAACGACAACTAAAGGATGAGGAGCAAAAACATTTCATAACTAAAAGCTTTACATTAATAAGATTCTCCTATGATAGTCAATGCATCCCACAGTATCTATTCATTCAGAGATCTTAACTTTAAAACTCACTACTGTTCAAGCCAGACGGAAATGCCTATTGTGGGGTAAATTTCTGTAATCCTTATTCATACTGAGTGGCAGCATGCTCCATATATTTCAACATGGTTATCTATATAAATTATATGCTAATCATACTGAGATAAAGCACAACCCCAGAGTTCTGAACTCTGGAGTCTGACTATACCTGATCATTTTCCAGCTCTTAGTTTACCTACCCTGCAATTCTCTGGCTGCATTCTTCACAAAGATATAGGGGAGGTGGCTTATCACCCAAAGCCACAGACAAGGATGGGTCAATGCACATCTGAAACACAGAGAAGGGAAAGAATTAACTCACCTCTTCACTGAAGTTCACAGAGAAAGTTCAACACATTAATGCTAGGACATACAATATAACACAGCTTTGCTATGTGTTGAGAGCATTTACTATTCTGAAAGGTGGTACACTGCATCTAGCAGTACAGGATCTCAAATTATTTCTAACAAAGAAAGGGATGTAACTGAAAATGAGAGCTAATGGGAAGAGACATATTTCAATATCAGTATTATCACTCTCTGAAAGACAAGTACATTCTGTGTTACACATTTACACTGCATAGTCATGACAGACTTACTTTTTATTTTTTTCCAAAGAGATAGTCACTTAGAGGATCCATTGCTTAGGACAAGGTAATGTGAAAGTCTAGATTTTTCTCTCTCAGTAACACCTCTTCCAGCAAAACATAATTTTCATTCATCACAGTTAACTACACAGCACAATTCCAGTGACGGAACGAAGACTATGGACCCACAGTTCCCTTGGCAGCATAGGTCCAAACTTTGTCTTGCATTAGGTTTTATCCTTCCACATTAGCCAGTTACAGAAAACAGTTACAGTTAACAGCCAGTTACATACACATTCGTTTGTGTTTGGTACTATTTAAGGAAAAGCTGAACAGTAGTATGTATACACAATATCTTAACCACTTAAATCAAAATGTTTCTTGCTATTCAAGTGCAAGATCTTATTTATAAAGACAAATGCCTCTTTGAATGTTTCTCATCTTTGTTAACCAAATTTATATTCATGTATCCAAGAGACAACAGGCTGCATTTTTCCGAATGATGACTGATCAAGACTGGTTCTGTCAAAGTTAAGCAAAGAGATCATTCAAAAATCTTCAGGTATTTCATCCGCAAAGCTTGGAACTGTAAATTTCATTGATATTTTTCTCTCCTCAGTGATTAGTCTGAATCTAGCCATCACTACACATGAAGCAACACCTTCCAGCTTTTTTTATTATGAAAAGGGATCATGGAGAATGATTGGAGTGGGCAGGAAAGTGGTCCCTTGCAGGACTTGTGAGATAGATTGGATATTAGGAAAAATTTCTTCATGGAAAGGGTAGTCAAGCATTGGAACAGGCTGCCCAGAGAGGTGGTGGAGTCACCATCCCTGGAAGTGTTGAAAAAATGGGTAGACGTGGCACTTTGGGACACGGTTTAGTGGGCATGGTGGTGTTGGGTTGACAATTGGAATGATGATCTTAGAGGTCCTTTCCAACCTTAATGATTCCTAGTTTTTACTTTCATTATAAATAATCCAGCCACCAAGCCAGGAAAAATGAAATTGCTACTCTACCCTTAATTGGTTTAGTGGTAGACTTGGTAATGTTAGGTTAATGGTTGGACTGGATGATCTTAAAGGTCTTTTCCAACCTAAACAATTCTATGATTCTATGATTATGGCCTAGCAGTATCATAGCCTGTGGAAAATGCTCACTGAAGAACTGTTTGACTAATGTAGTTATGTTAGTATATGAGTTGATGCCAGGAAAATTGGTTGTATCTACATATTTAACTAGATACAAATCTAATTAATTAGTACACCTAACTGTAGCATGCTCTGTACTTGGGATGCTGTTCTTGCCTCTGCCATCAAATTGTGCTATCATCCTGGTCAAGCCATTTTACTTTGTCACCCAGGAAAGATAAGTGTTTACCTCCCTCAGAGGGCTGTAGAAGAGGTACGTAAAGCTTTGTTGCTATTTGCTTTAGGACGCGTTCCAAGCAAAGGATCGCAATCAGAGTAGGTGCATTGTATGACCTCAATCAAGATACCAAGGTGAATGTGTACCTACGTAACTGACATAATGTTTCCTGTATGCAGTAATACTTATGCACATATTTACACACATATATGTGTTCAGGAAAATATGTACATGGGTTAGCCAGGAGCCAGCTCAGAATTCTTTAAAGTGCTCTGCAACAATCCTCATGTTTAATATCAAGACTTGGCCCACAGTAGTTGGAGGAAATACCACATCTTGCTTTAGGCAGCCAAGAACATATTCCTAAAGTTCTGGCCCCCTTGGTCTCGACAGGCTTTACTGTTCCCTTAGCTCCTGCTCTTGGTCACCTGCACACAACCAGAGCGTATGGCTGGGGTTGAAGTGCAACCTCCCATCCCCCAGACAGTTGGGTTTGACCCCTGAATAAATAGCAGTACCTTCACAGCTGGTTTGTTAATCGCATTATGGCATTCAATGTGCTGGCAATGAATAGGATTCCAGGCTGCAAAACCAAAACACAGCTGATTAATAAATGGAGAATATATATTCATATTCTTTGTGTCTAGTGGTATCAATTGAGAACAAGATCCTCTTGTACTACATACTATACAAATATGACAGAAGACCTAGCCATTCCTCAGGAAGCCTAATAATTACAATAAACAACCTAGAATATATATGCTTACTGACTTGTTTGGGATATAATTATGAAATGAACCGTGAACTCAGTGAAGAAATGGAAAAAGTAAGACACAGACATCCCCGTTGTAGACCCTTCCTGATGTCACCAACGCCTTGAATTAATTAATTATCCTTCCACTCCAGGAGCAGGATGGTAGGAGTAGCTGAGTAAATTCAGTAGCATTCTCAGGCAAAATGAAAACACAGCTACGATAAAGGAAAAATAGTCCAGCCACAAAAAGAGCCTTAGCTTGGTAATGACAAGAAGTAAACAACAAAGGTGTTAAGTGGCATCACTTGGATGCTATATGGGATGCCCCCCGGTCAAAATGCCATGCAACTGCGGATAATACTCATCCCATTCTGGGATACATTAACAGAAAATTTATACATAGGAAAATTATTCCAGTCTACCCAGTGCTAGTAACAGTTCAGATGGAATATCATGCTTAGTTTACAGACCTGCTTCCATGAAAGAAGTGATGCAGAGCAGTACAAGAAAAATGATTTTCAAAAAAAGTCAAGAAAATCTATCAACCCCTCAAGGGAAGGCTTTAGAACAGACTAGATAAACACGTGTCAGGAACATTCAGGATGTACTTGAGTTGGTCTAGGTGGTCTTCTAAGGTCTCTTCCAATCCTTCATTTTTATTATTTAAAATGTCACATTCTGGTCCAGAAATTTTAAAAGTGAATGAAACATATCCCATATGACAGAGATTATTTGAACCAGTTTAAGACTAGCAACCAGGAAAAGCAAGTCAGGAATTGCTGCTGGATGGTAGAAGCATAATCCCATCAGTATCATTGGGGAGTTTGGTGGACAGGGGACTTTGTACCATTCGCCTACTCAGCTCCAGCTGCATTGCTGACTCTGTCTCTCATTTTCACCCTATAGTCAACCTTGAGAACTTACCCATTATACTGACTGCAACTGACATCACCTGACTTTTTTTGACAGTAACAGCCAGATAAGGAGTCTTAGCAACAGCAGCAGTGATAGCAGCTGGCACAACAAAAGCAACTGAAGCAGTAATTGAAAGGAACATAAGCCAGAACCCTTGTGAGGCCAAGGTGGCAGTTTCACAGACTATTTGGAACATTGTATTTATTTCTTCTGTTCTGGTTTAGTTAGTATTGGGAGTAACACAATATATTTACTAGCCACGATCACAGTTTTATTTTTCATAACATCTTTTGAAAATACAGAGAAACAATATTATATATACTTATGAAAGTACCAACTTATTGAACAAAAGATTTCAAAATACATGGTAGAATCGTAAACATGTGATGCTAGCACACTTCTGATAATTTCCTTTATATTTATTTTGACCTGTACAAAAACAGCTGCACTGACCTGTGTACTGCAGTCCTCTGTACTCACTGATTGCCCCAGGGGGTTTTAAATTGGGCCAATAGTGAAATAACATCTGTACTGCTGGAGGTTTAACTTGAGATGGTCCATAGGCTATTACATACAGCAAATCCTAAGGAAAGACATGTACAAAATGTTTATTTTGCAAAGTAACAAACACAATTCAATATGTTACTTGTGTTCAAAGCTAACTGAACACACAAAACATATGTTTTTCATGCCCTACCAAACATCCTTTGTACACCCTTACAAGTAGATTAGATGACTAAATTCAACAACATGTTCACAACTGGCCTCTGAGTTTGATCGGAGCATCCAACGGCTACCACCCACCCCACACAGTATACTAACATATAGCAAAAGAAGCCTCTGTCTAGCCATGGAGCAAAGAGGTGTGATACAGATAAATAACTGGATCCAGATCAGATTCAGGCTAAGACAATACTCACAAACAGTCCTCATAAAAGTTCAGTCCCACATGAACTGAGAAGATTGGTCATTATTAACATTTCTGCTAATTGGAGCCACAACCACATAGTATTTAGGAAACGGAGCTCTGTTCTACAAAACATGGAGCTGCTTCTGTAAGCTAAAAATCAGAGGGACCTTCCTCTCCATAATCCGGAAGGAGGATTGGATATAAAGATCATTTGTAACTTCTTGGCACAGTCAGTTCAATTTTCAAGCCATCTGGTTTTCATTACTATCCAAATACAGTCATTTCCACAAAGTATATATGATCATAAACTTACTTTCCATACTTCTTGCTTATATTTCATGAGGCATTCCAATAATTGGCAGTGATACACTGAGAGAGAAAAGACAGTATAGACATAATACTGAAATGGAAACTCAAGTTACAGAAGTGATGTAATTAGCTGATTGGCTTTGCTTTGTCTGTCCAAAACTCTATACCTCATTTAATTACTTTTTATTTTAAAGGGTTTGCTGAAGAATCATTGCCCTGAGAGTCATCACAAAAGGTTAGAAATTAAATATTAGTAACTTGTTTCTGTCAAGGAATGCAGTAAGATAATGAGTATTATGAGTGTACAGCTTTTTGCACAGCAATGAAGATCTTTTTCAAACACATCTGGTTTAAGAATACCTGCTAATTCACTTAAACTCTGTCCCTCTTGCACAATGTAAAGCTGTAAATGGAAGTCACATGTAACAATATATTATTCCCCTGTATATCAAAGGCTATAGGAGCCACTTTGCATCAAACAAACATGAGAGCCAAATGAACTACTTTACATGTTTGACTTCCCAAAAACCACAGGGCAACATTTTCCTCAGATGGCTGGAACATGGAATTCACAAAAAAAATATAGAACATTTAATGAAAAAACTAACTTGTGCAAGTAGCTTTTAAAAATGGTGCGCTGCTTTTATTTACTGCTCTGAACTACGTTAGCATGATGTGTCACTTCTCACACACCTAATGCAGTGTGAGCTTCCTCCCCACACACACCATCTACTCATCTACATAAAACGGGAGATAGATGACTATTGTGCAATGTAACAGCTCCCTCAGGTTAAATTTTGTTTCAATTTGGTTAAGTGATCCCACTGATTCAACTAGGACTGCACCACAGTGAGAGAGAATGGCCTTCTGTTTAGATACTTATAATCACATTTAAATTCATTATAGTTCTGTTGAGCCTGCAGCCAGCATTACCTGTCTTCTTTAAAAAATAGTGTCAGTTGTGAACTTGGTGGGATACAAATCATAGTATAAAACAAACTGTTACTATGAATTTCTGTAGTCAAAGTTAGTGGTGATTTCTTTCCCACTGATGTTATAGAGCAACACTATTTTCTGATGTCAAGCAAGAGTAGATCATAGTCTCCAATCCTGGGCCAAACCCTGTTTCTTCACCACAATGAGATCTCTTATCTACATAATGATTACTTCAAGCATGATGCTCAGAAATTCATTTTGACTAAAATCACTTATTTTTCATCCTGTGTTGGATAGTGAAACAGATTTTTCCCATCTGAACTTTTCTGACTGCATTTGACACAGTACTTCATGACTCATGTTTTAGAGAGAATGATACCATGTTGCATGTTTACACGTACCCGGGTTTGACGTGTACTGCATTGCAATCATTAGCATAGATGATGCAGATAGATTGACATGTGCTGGAACACCTTCTCTTTTTGAGGATCCCACTTGAAAGAAAGGAAAAAAAAGAAAACATTTTCTATTGTATAACAAGGAAAATTAGGTGAGAATAGCATATAACCAATTCCAACTGATGCAAATAAAATTCCTAACCCTAAAAAACTAGAAACATTCTGTATTGGAAGGGGTGAAACCCCTTTTCTGCTGGAAGAGAAAGATGACTGAGAATATGGTATTGCTTCACAGAGCGCACACCTGGTTTTCCAGATCAGTAAGATTTCATTCTCAGAGCTGCATTAACCAAAGACAGTGATCTTCTCAGGCACATTCCTTCAGAACCCACAGACTGGTCAAAACAATGTCACATGTATAGTCAAGTGCACCTAGGGCTTGGATTGTAGGAAAGGTAAGAAGGAAGTGGAGGGTAAAGAAACAAGAAAAAATGGAAAGCCTGCTGTTAAGGTACACTGATGAAGGGCTGGTGGTAGCTGCTGGCTGTTGGTGTATGGCACAGATTACTTCTCAGGAAGCACGTTATGCGTTCAAGTTATAGCTACATACCAGAAAAATTAGTCCCCCTTGTTATGTGAACTGTGTGAAGATTATGAAAAACAGTAGCACTAAAGTGTAGCTAAGCTGTTGTAACTTTGATTTCATACATAAAGTGGCTAGAGTTCCTTCTGGTCTCCTACGAAGTGGTTAGTATTAAATGGTATACTCGGAAAAACCGCGCAGACTGTAGCTGTTTATTTGCTGAACTATAACACTGCAATACGGCTTTGAAGGCAACCTCCTACACAGAGATGTGGCATGTATCTTCCCCATCCTCACTCACAGCACTTTCCCAAGCATGACTGCCAGGACCCAAATACCAAGCATTTGGGATAGAAGCACAGAACTGTAGCTACCAGTTCAGTGAGATGCTTTCATCCCTCCCATCTGGCTCTCCAGCTGCTTACACAATGTCTTGTATCCTCCGTTTTGGTTTGACTCAAAGCTGAGCACTAGGGGAAGGAAAGGTTTTGCACTTGTCTTATAAAGGGCCAGATCATTCCCGGTAGGGAAA